CATTGACACTGAATACGAATTTAATTTATTATTTAATTTACATAAATGTAACTGTGTATCAACTTCTATATTACAGTAATGTTTAGATTGGACATCTACAAGGTAGAATAACGATCATCGGGGACCCTTGACTTGTTTAAAATTGAATTAAAAATTGCATGAAACAACGTACAAACACGTGAATAATGTAACACATAAAAACAAATTATACATATCAAATATATTTTAACAATTTTAATAAACTCACTAAACTCTAGAAAGTCGAATTTAACATCTGACTTTTAATTGATTGTATTGTGTCAAGCCTAGATATATACGTAACCTGTTAAACGTTGTTTTTTAATAGCTGAACAAATTAAATTCCTCAATATTTTAACATGAAATTAAATTTTTTTTTTACTTTTCACAAAATTGTAAAACATACTAATTTTGTCTTTTAAGATCAATTTATACAACTGCAAGCACCGAAATAACGTGCCTGTGGTCTAAATTAATTTTAAAAAGTCTTGCATCCAGTTTTACTGGAGGAGGTGGGGTCATTAAAAAATAATTTCAAAACATAAAAAAAATGACAATGAAAAAATATTCTAAAACTTAAAACTTGTAGTAAAAAAGTAGGTTCCCACAACAAATGAAAAAAATGAAGGTAAAATTAAAATCAGTAGGGACTAACATTATTCATCCTATCAGCTGTTTAGGCCTTTATATGTTAAAGTTTTAGGAAGGGGGGGGGGGGGTAAATAGGTAATGTGTCGAATTATGTTTTTTTTTATGAAATATCTTTTTTAAAATAATGATTTAAAATGCTACATGTTAATAATTTCTATCGTTTTACTCGCATACCAATCAATAGTATGCAAACGATTTGCTTCCTCGAGTTGGTCGATTCTTATTCGTCTGACGGTTCACTAGCGTAGGGCTCAAAACGAGAGGGTTCTACTCCCACATTTTCTGCATTATTGCACAGCAATGAATCCTCACCAAAACTTGACGATCCACAAGAAAGTTCTAACGATTCTTTCTCTAATGGACTATCAGAATTATCCGAAACAGCGTTTTCTGTCTATCACTTTAGGGAAGCGAGACACACTTGTGACGTCATTTAACTTGATTGCATTTAAAACCGGAAGTGACATTGTCAAGGATTATCGATCGTTTTCACAGGTGCAAATGCAGACGTTCATTATTGATTATCTTTGAAACGACGGGACCGATTTTAGTCGGATTTTCGCCAAAACGTTTTATGAAGCAGGTTTAGTGAATTACGTTGATGAGTAAAAGTACCGTGGCCTATCTTTAAAATCAAAAGAGTTTGAAAATCTTTTACTAAACTTGAAAATAATTAGAACCGCGGTTATTGTTCGACTATCGGAAACCCATGACGCCAGGATACAGATAGTTTTAGAGAATATTATATTATATGAAGGAAGGGGGGGGGGGGGTTGCAAGAAACTATTTTAGAAGAATTATTTTGCTTATTTTTAATTTTAAATATAAAATATTTGAAACTAAGTTTATATATATTATAGTACAATTTTATAGATAACGGCGTTTGTGGCGTAATCGTTAGCGCGTCGGACTGACAATCTCGGGGTCGTGAGTTCGCTCACCGGTATGGGCATTGTCGGATTTTCCTCAAAAATGGAAGCCGTGCACTATTTCGGCATAGTATGCTTACGCTTTATAAATCCTTAGAACACTATGCGAGAATAGTAGGGTATGGATTATTTAAGAAATGTTTTTTTAGTTTTGTGTGAGTTATTGGCGTGTGAATCACACAGACTTGTCACTTAGGCATAGCGCTTCATGAAAAATGTGCCTATGTGCAAGTCTGTGTGATTCACACACCAATAATTCACACTAACCTGAAAAACATCCCTTAATTTACATTTTACATGTTCGAACGCAACTAAAATATCCTCAATATTTGAATTTCTCGCTGTCCTATATCGCTGCATTCTTACTAGCGTCGCTCCAGCCTCATTGTGACGTCACGTTAACGCACGTTTCTCCGTGTATATTTCTACGCGTGAGCATACACAAAAATGACTTTCAAATCAATTTCACAGTTGGCTTAGTAGAAAACAAGTTTGCTGTCCTTTAAAAAAGGACTACAATACGTGGACCATATGCATGTTTTTTTTTTTCTAACTGAAATTCAATCAAGTAAATTTCTAGGTGTAGGGGATATTCATGTTGGTTTATTCACTTTTTCAACAATGATCGGCCTACTTATAACTGATTGTTGCCTCAAAGCAAAATTATGAAATTTTATCTCCTATTAGCGACCTTTAGTTTTGTCAGTTTAAAACATCGGGTTATTTTGATACGTGCAACTCATACTGGCTGGAACTTGACACCGGGTCTGGATTTATACGAAAGAAATTCATCATGGGAAAATAGTTGATGGTTCACGAGTATTAAGCAGATTTTTTTTGTAACACACACACATTAAAAGCCGTTGCTACAGACCTTTATCAACCGAAATATTATTATATGGCGAGCCTTGATGTACAAATTAAAACTAATGCCGGTGAAAACTCTATCTTTTTAAATCTCTATTCGCTGAGTGGCGTTTTTCATTCAAGTTGTAAGTTACATGTATCTGTATACTGTAACTTCTTAAAATGCTTGTACCATAGAATCAATTAATGTTTAGTTTTATAAAAGTATATATGTATAAGAGAGGAAATCAGATTTACCAATGAATATGTAAATACGATAAGCAGATTTAAAAGCGAGATTTGTCAATGAATGGCATATTTTAATTCGAAAAATTACTTTACGGGCAAGTTATCATAGCATTTTCGCGCATGCGTCGCCTGTTGTTTGCCCAGGGCTTCCGGTTTAACTTCGCTTATATATTTACTGCGTGGACCTCAGGGTCCACGCAAAAACAGCGCATGTAAATATATAGAGTCAAACTGACAGGAAGCATAATAATAATAATAATAATATTAAAATGCAGATATGTCATGACTGTTAAAAGGAGAACAATTCAACAAAATTGCGCTGAGTATGTATAAGATTTATCGACATTGAAGAAAATGTAAAGATCTAGCCTTAGAAAATAGATTTGTACTTTGTTTAAACATATACAAGTACATACGTCTATTTATTGTAATTACGAAAAGATGTAAATTTTATGTTGATAATGCCTGCAATTAAAAGACAAGAGGCCCACGGGCCTGTAGGTCAATTGAGTATCATGTTACAACTTTCCAGCAATTGAATTTGATTTGCTTTCTTTTTAACCAGAGGCCATGAAATTCACAATTTTTAAAAGAGGCACCATTGCTTATCATAACTATACACTAAGTATACTTACTTTGGTTGCTAAATACTCAGAGGTAGATCAGAGCAATAAAAAAAAGTCCACTTTATAACCAATTGTGATCATCCCCCCCCCCCCCAGGGAGCACTGACCCTGGGCCACATATTTCAAACTTTTGGAATTTTTATCATTAATTTCATTTCATAAATATGGCTGAACGCAGATTTTAAAGCATTAATTTATTTTCAGACTATGTACCCCCCAAGTATGTACCCCCTGCCCAAGAACCCTTGACCCATTGGACCTGAAATTAAATTTTGGAATAGGCACCTTTCTTAATCATAATCGTTTTTATTATCCTGAAGAATCTAAATAATCAAATAGATGGAGTAGAAAATAGTAATCTAACCTCTTACGTTCTCCTAGTCTGCTCTTATTCCACTTTCAAAATATGTCAACAGACAACTTTGACGTTATCGTTAGAATTTATTGTTTACTGATCCCGCATATTTAGCAATTTTACATGTGTTATTATTAATCAGAGTTATCTCTTCTAAACCACTGGAATTTCATTCAAAGCACGACAACACAGTTGTAACCTGCGTTCTCGTTTAAGCCATTCCATTGTCATCTGAAAGGATATAACAGTTGTCACCCTGCGCGTGAGGGAGACATCACGAATTGTCACACCTCATGTGACATACTCTAAAACAATCAGATTGACTGTTAATTTTGAAGGATAATAATAGGCATAATAACCAAGAATAATAGAAAAGTTTATCAAAGAATTCATTCATTTTTCACCATATAATCAATAGAGCCCCACCCTTTCACCAGAACTTCTCACCCAGGGGCCCTGAAATTCTGAATAATGCAAGAGGCATTCTCATTAGTTTAATTCCCGGGCGCAGGAGATTTTTAAAGAATTTATTCATTTTCACTATATAATCAAAAGAACGGCCACCCTAACACTATAGAATCCCTGAAACAAGAGCCATAAAATTCACAATTTTAGAAAAGGCATCCTTGCTTATTATAACTATGAACCTAGTTAGTTTGTTTAATACCCAGGAGCAGAGAAGAGGATTTTTAAAGAATTAATGTATTTTCACTATATAATCAATATATAATCAATAGTGTCCCGCCCTAACACCAAACATTCTGTACCTGGGGCGATGAAATTCACAATTTTGGAAAAGGCATTATTGTTCATCATAACTATGAACATAGTTTATTGGTTTATTACCCAAGAGTAGAGGAGAAGATTTTTAAAGAATTTATGCATTTTCACTATATTATCAATAGAGCCCCGCCCTAACACTAGAACCTCTGACCCTGGGGCCATGAATTTCGCAATTTTTGTAGAGATCTCAATGCTGATTGCAATCATGCCAACAGTTTGACTTCTTGATGTCCAGGAGTGAAGGAAAAAAATTATAGCATTCATTAAAGTGGTTTAAGCCCAATCCCTCAGGTCCCAGGTTAGGGGGGGGGGCATGAAATTCACAATTTTTATTTCCCTTCAATCACAGATGTATTATGCAAAAATTGTTTGTAATTGGTTGCGTGGCCGCCGAGAAAAAGCTGAAAATGTTCAGATGCTAACGCACGGCGACGGACGAAAAAAGATAGCAATATGCCACCTGAGTTTACATAATGCAAAGAAAAGGAAACCATTTATTTTATTTTTGTTTATAATCATCACTGCAAACTGTGAGGACAAACTTCAGGCTCGTCGAAGCATCATCCGGGTTTTAGACAGAGATACCGTCCATCCTTTATAAGGGTACCAGTTCACCCCCTCTCCATGATTATTATTGCCGTATTCACCATTAAGGTTTGACATATGTCCATAGAGGTACCACCAAGCCCCTCGCCACTTTACGGCTAAATTATCCAAAAGGTCAAGGTCGTTATCATTATCAAATGTGGAAAACTGAGCCCCGTTGTGGCAGAACTGGTGTACACACGAAATACCGTCTCCTGAAAAGGTTAAATAGTTAAATACGATGATATATCTTTGTGGTCATATTTGGGTTTTGTCTTAGAAATTTTGTAAAGAAGAATGACTTGCATTTGGTTGCTTCTTTTTACCAAAAAAAAGTTCTAGCACAATAAGTCTTCTGATTGACTAAAAACTTATATGTAGCAAATTATAGCAAAATATCCATTAACTGTTGCGTTATAGTTACTTGACTGTGCTTTTTTTTCTTGAAGAATGTTGTCAGTCCATGTGTGTTTTAATTTTTAATATGTACACATATAATGCTATGTAGAATTATTGTTAGCGTGCAAGACAATTAATCCTGACATTCAGGTCACATTTTTTATGTAAAACTTTCTTTTTTCCCTTTCCAAATAAAGATGTCCATACAAAAACATTTTTGAAATAAAGCTTACAAGTTACAACCTTTACGAAATGATGAGTAATTTTTTTGCAGTTAGATTAGAGCAATTCTTTGTTACTAAACATGTAATGATAAACAATATAGTGTCCTGAAATCTGTCTTTTTAAAAGCTTAGTATTGGTAGTATTGATTTTCATAAAGGGAAGAATTCGAGACATAAACCAATACCAGCTGTTCCAGTGTATCCAAAGACCTGGAGTCGATAGTTATCACCCTCCCCCGCTATAGAGAAACTACTGTACTCCGCATACTTAGATTCTGCACCGTATTCCACTTCCACTCGTAGAACTGTATATCCATTGGTCACCAACAGTCGGATGTTGTCAAGTCCTGAAAAACATAATATGAGATTTTATTTTCAGTTTTCAGTTTAATGTTATATATTGTTCTGGAAATTTTTTGGGGTCTGAAAAGATAAAGCTGAAATATATTTCATATTTATGCTGAGCATAGAAAGGTAACATCAACGATACTTAAAAAAATTTCGCCTTTTACAAAAAAGGCTAGAAAAACAAACAAACACAGATAAATTTTGATTTTAGTCTTTTCACGGGACACATTTTATCGAAGGTAATTTTTAACTCAATTGTATCGGCAATTAGAGTATATCAAATACTGTAGTTCCTGTAGCAGACAATCGTGCATGATTTGAACACTGACTGATGACTGAAAAAAATTATGTTTAAATTAAACACGTCAATGTGTAAGTTAAGGTAGGTCTGTACTTTCAGAATTTTCTGTCAAACTGTTTATTTTTTTTTATTTGAATATCTTGAATAAGTCACAATCTAACTAAAACACCCATAAAAAACATATCTTTGCAGGTTAATTTTCATGCAATATGTCTCGGAGTACATACCTCTAAAAATTTAACAACCAAATTTCAACATAAAGAAGTGTGACATCATATTTTATTAAGCTATGAACCAAATCACATCAAATTAATGTTAAAACTTATGACAATCAAAAATATTCATTTGTCAAGATAAGATTTGAAATTTCAATTGGAAAACATTAAAAAATTGATGTTGATTCTGTCCACATTTTTCAGAAAAAAAACACAAAATATCTTTATTTTAAACATTTCTCAAAATCTTACATGTTTACATGCTATTTTTTCTTTACAATTATTTAGAATTATATCTTAGGTTAGCAAAAACAAATACTTTGTTATGGTTGACCAGATCAATTTTACAAAACAGCCTTTTGAACACCTATACCCCCATTTTTGGAACATCTATTTTTTCAATCGGTCTTCGAAAAATTAATAAAAAAGAAAATCTAAAAAGATTATATAGGCTTAAAATTAAAGATAATATAGATCTCAAGTTAAATTAAAAAGCTTTAAGTCCGAAACGGCAATTAAGAATTCTGTCTGTGTATTTACTAAATTACGTATAGATCCTACGGTCAGAGTGCAAAGTGGTTATTCCTATAAATAATGTACATTAAATGCTCTGTGTGGACTATGACACGTACTATAGTAAACAAATATATATTTGCAAAATTATTTTCAATCATCCAAAAAATTTTATTTCAATAGACAAACGAAAATCAAAATTTTATATTGGTTTGTAAAATTAAAACCGGATCCGTAAAAGTGTGGACCTGCCTTAAAGATAATTAATATTTATCGATAAGTATTAAGATATAATCCAGTGTGTCTTATAAATCTGTATGTATATCACAGGTTGAAATCATTAAATGATTACTACTTGACTAAAACAGCTTACCTATCCAGAATTCAGAATCTACGTCACCAAATCCGGTCTTGTACTCTGCCCATCCTCTGTAGAAATCAACAGAACCGTTAACTCTCCTTTGTATCATCTGAATGAAAAATAAAAAAGGACGAAAATGGAAAACGTGGAAATTAGAATTCAATTTATTATAAATTAACACATTTTTGAGGGGTCATTTTTATTCTTTGGAGAAAAAAAATATTATGTCGGACGTAATTGTTTTTGTGAATGAAGAAATGTGGTATTGTTGCGCATTCTGATAATTCATATCGTAGAAGAAATGAAGTAACGGGACATCTTCAATTTTATATGTACCATGCATAAAGCAAAAATTTAACTCTTAGGAAAATGAGTTCATTAATATTTTCTTTTTTAAATTACCGTCCAGATGTGACCGGCTGTGTTCATACAGTTCGTAGAAAACTGTTGACCGCCTAAAACTACTGTCTGAGGCAAACTGTCACCAAGAGAGGGCGTGCTAGTTCCACAGTCACGTGCACAATCTAAATTAAATGAATTGATCAAATAATATTTTTGCTAAAAACCAAGCTCTATAATAAACGCGATGACTTGAAATTTTCTTATGCAGGAATATACTTTCATCACGTGCATACTGAGTTTAAATATCGCAGTTGATTCGATGCGCAAGAGCATGATCTAGGTATGAACAATTTCTTGAACGTGGTTTTAAAATTATTGACAAACAGGTTGATGAAACAAGAATATCAGCAGTCTCATTCAAAGTCATTATTTCGTAAGTTCTATGCTAGATGCAATGACTTCGTCAGCAAATACGATTTATCATCGATTAAAGTCCTGACTGACGTTTTTCATACTTATTGTTAGTATGTTATTTATACATACACTGAATTGAAGACGGATTTTCCTGTTATATTCCGATTATGACAGACAAAGTGCACACAGCGGAGTTGACCGGTCCATAGATGATGCTCACTTATCTATGGCACCTGATCCTACCTCTGATGTTTGCTCTGCTCCTATTTTGTATTCTTTATGGACTTTTGATCTTGAATACTATTCGTAATCTCCATATGTTTCATGTTTATGTTTTTAAAATATGTAACCAAATTTAAAGTGTTATATCACATTTGATGTTTTCTAACTTTATTTTGTTAAAGAAAAGTATCTTTTTTATCGCATTACATATATCAGAATTTTAGGCGTTTGTTTAACATAAGAAAAATACAATAATTATTAATCTTTATGAGGTAGTATTTGTAAGAAAAATATCATACAAAAATTTAACACAAGACCAAAACTCGTTTAATCGGTTTATGATTTGAAGGGTATGATGAATAATTTTATTATTCATCATACCTTTACCCACAAAAACCACACTGGCAACACCCCTTCAGTTGATATTTTTATATACTCACAGTGTATAACCCACTGACCTGACAAAACCTCTTCTAATGGTTATTCAAAAGATACCAACTAACAATAAACACGGCAAAATCCTTTCTATCGCTTATTTATTTTATTCACTTAAAAAAAAAAAGCATTATTTCTTAAATCTATTTATCATTACATCTGCAGTTCCTAATTTCCTTCATTTGTGTCCATATCAGTGATGAAAAATTATCCATAGGGACATAAGAACGATGAAGTAAAACAAATAAAATCAATAAATTACAGTAGCTGATTGTCTTACTTATGGTAATGTTGTAATATTATCCTGACCTATCTATAACTATAAAGCACTTACAATACCCCTTTTCATCAATCTGTTACCATACAAACCTATGACACATTCGCATTCACGCTTTAGTCGATTAAAGTAGGATCCCAATCCGCATGCGTGCTCCTGTAGGAAGTAAAAATTTTGAAAGGCAATGCATTTAATTAAATATCCTATAAAAATTTCATTGATGTTGAGATTGCCTTATACAAAGAAGCATGATGTATATTGAAAAGTACTAAGGAAAAAACAAATTTTAATTCTTTAATAATCAGATTTGTTAAACATGTATCCATTAAGATCAATAACCTAAAATGAATGCAAATCCTATTGCTGTTACATTGAATTTATATTAAACGCGTTTTTAACAAGTTTTACTGTTTGACTGGTCAATTTATCTCTTTTTGCATCTTTTTAAGGGATTTGGGAAAAAGCAAAAAAAGTTTAATATATGTGGTTCACTCGCCTTAACATTGTACATTCAACTCTCTCTTTGAGTCCTACTTTAATTCATTGAAGTAAAATAAATTATCTTAATCGATTCACAATTTAGTAATGATTTATATACGAGAATATTATTTTGAAGCATTGTGTATTGATGAAACTTAATAAATATTTTTAAAACTTTTAGAGTACATTCTTAAGATATAAAAATATTATTTTATAACATAATTATAAAATTACTTTATGTTCTCATTTCTTTCAGTGAACCGATTAGGGGCTCTGTGTGAATAGAAAATGCGTAGAAACAAAGTTGAAATGCTTTTTGGGAATTTTCTGTATTTTTCTATATTTTGATTACTACAAAATCACCCAATGATCAATGGCGTTTATGGTTTATACATGTATTATGAATTCAATTTCATTTACTACTTAATTGTTATTATATAATATGTATAGTAAATTAATTTACAAACGATATCATGAGATTATTTTAAGGAGCAAAGCCATCCGCCCATTTCTTGTGAATAACCTGTATTTAAAATTTCTATAAATCCTGAATGAAGGACTTTAAGTGGTAATGACCAATATTTGCCATTAAAGCAAAACTTTGACAGAGAAATACATAATTATGTTTCAAAACAGGGGGATATCTGCAGACTTCAAATCAAGGAATATTTTCTTAAGCCATGGCGTCAGATAAATGACATAAGTTTGCAATTTCTATGATTTCTACAGAAAATGACGTTTATTACGTAAATATTATGAGCAAAAGCCAACAAGCGCAGGTCTGTTCAAGCTCAATATTTTTATATTATATGTAGAATGATAACAGATTCAAAAAGGCTTGATCGCGAAAATTGATCGTCGCGAACTAAACTAGTAAACCCCTAGTAAATCGCGAAATAAAGTCGCCGGGAATAAAAAATTGCTTTACAGTTGTTTGTGACATCATAAAAAACAAAATTGTACATAACCTACTTTGAAACTGTCATAATTTTAAATTTGTTATTTTAAATTTCTCATACAATATATACAATTTAGAATTTTTCAAAATATATAATAATTGCTTTTCTGGGGGCATTAATATGCGATATACTGCATATAGTTTTTATACGGACGCACAGTAATGTGTTAACCTAGTAAGCTAAACAATCAAATAAACTTACCAATTCATAACGTAAACAGGTATTACTTCCAGTTTGTAATGATGTGGCAATTTTTGAACTAAGTCGAAAAATTGTTCCTGTTTCAGATGAACATATTTCTACTGCGTTACAGTCTAAGTTCTTGTAGCACTCTACAGCACCATAACGCAATGACATATCTGATATTGTCGGATTTAACTCGGATATCATCAAAGATGTGTCGATGTAAGAGACATTTCCCTGATATGCAAAGTTTCCATGTACAATTGTGGCTTTTAAATGTGTTACACAACATAATATAAATGAATGAAAAAATATGAAGAAATTCATCCTAATTTCAATATTTCCCATGAAATGTTCGGTAAAGAGGTATCTAAGTTTCCTTCAGATATGTTTCACACGCTTTATCTGATATGACTTTATATCTCTCGACACTTTGTGTCCAAATGGTCAATGGGAGCTAATAGAAATGCACCTGTGACCGTTAACGATTCATTTTAAAAATTATCATTTAGGTTAGGAATCATTCAGTGTTTACAATACCTTTACAAGTTAAGTACAATTTAATGAAAATCGAACTCAGGATAACCATCTTATTGATTTGTAAGTGTATAATGGATTCAAAAATAAATTAAAAAGTCAAAGAAAAATATATTACATCCTGGAATATTTATCATTAATGTATTATTTACAAAATCGCAATTTCTCTGCATTTAAACCTTTTTAATGTATACATACATGTATGTGCGTTTTAATTTACGAAAAGATATACATTTATCATCTATTGTTATTTGGTTTATTCTTTGGGAGTAAATCAAATATAATGAAAGTGCTTATATAATTACACAAACGCATTAATTAAATCGAATATTTTCGCGTGCTGAGATTATTTTTCAATTTCCTCTATGTCACATGTGATCACTACCCATAAAACAACCACTAATAACACGTATCAAGTCTTATTTCCACTGTATCTTTTTCAAACCCTATTTTTCATATAGGAAATATGATAAAATTTATCAAACTAAATGATTTAAAATAAAAACGTTAAGAATAATTAAAATATTTAAGAGTGGAAGATACTTTGTAGGCATTTTTTTGTTTGTTTGGTGGTTTGATTGTTGTTAACGTTTCTCTCGAGAAGTTTTCACTCATATGGAGACGCAACCACTTGCCAGTGGAGAGTTGCAAATTTTGTCCTTTACACATACCACTGAGCAGAGAGGGATCTTTTCGGTTTCCACGTCCCACAGTTGGATTCGAACCCGCGATGTATAGATCAACTCCTTACTTCACGACTCTAGAGCAGACGATTTAACCACTGCTCAACGTGGGTGACTATTTCTTCTTTTGAAAGGAATGTATGAGTAAAAGTTGAGCTACCATAAGTTATATACAACTGAGTTCTTCTAGCCTTACAAAAACAAACACTAATTGATATAAGTAGCGCTGATGTCATTGTCTCTTTTCCAGTGTAATCCATGGCATATTTAACATTACAATTTTAAAGAAAAAGTCGCTCTACCTTTACCTCAAAATATAGATAACGAAAAGTTCTCAAGCTCAAATGTTTATTCAAACTATATGTACAAATCAGGACCATTAAACATCAGAGGGGGATCAGATGCCTTGGAGAAGTGAACATCGCCTGCTTACCGGTCACATCCGCCATATGCTTCTTATGATGACCGGTAGATAATTGGAAAATTTATGGTCATTGAAGTGTGTAAATAGTATCAAAAAGTATAAAAAGCATTAGTCAGCAATTAACTTAATGAGCAAACACAGACCTCTTATAAGCTGCTATGTTATTGACTGAGACTTTTAACTTAAATTGTAATAAAATATAATATTCCATATCTTATACATGTAAAAACGAAAAAGGTTAATTTCTGAAATATTTTATGTTCATTTTTTTTTATTAGATATAAATTTATATTTCAAATACTTACTGCGGACAGACATAATATCAAGAGCAAAGTTAGACTAGAAACGCAAGTGTTGTTCCTTTAGATGTACTTTTAGCGAGTGTTATTTCAATTGATGAATTCTATTCGTTATATCTATGATCACATTCTATGCATGTTTACCCATTATCTAAATTCAATCAAGCCAATATTTGAAAAGTACCACTGCAGTTGGTTGAAAAGCTCACTGATGGCTTTTAGTGTATCATGGCCTTTACAACGACTTTCGTCAATATTTATGGTAAATCAACGCCTATTAGTTCCCATATGTAAAATTCAGAAAAAGGACACGGGATCAAAAAGAACATTTTATAACAACAATTTAACGAAAGGACACTGATTGTAAAGTACATTTTATTACAAGAATTTACATGAAGAATTTTATAAATACTGAGTATTAAGCGCCACTGATGACATAAAAGGGAGAATAGTAAATGTACATAAATGCAATTTTTAACAAGCGTATAAAAAATATAAAAAAGCTCTGAAGACTTTGTTATAATAGTTAATAGATTTTACACATTGCACATATGTTCATTCACCTGTGTGGGTGTTATCATAGTTAAGTAAGAGAATATCTTGTGTACGCTTGAGCGAATCATGTTTTGAATTCTATCTTTCAAATATCTTTCAAATATAAATCGCTCTAGTCCAGTATATACATTAAGTAAAAAATTCATTTCAAATTACTGTTGTAGGATTAATAGTAGTGTTTGGATACAATATATCCCAGTTAGCTTGAGATTAAAGGTATCACAGTGTCTGACACATCTGTTTTATATAAGAAATAAACAACGTTATTTAGTGAACATGGCGTTATGAAAAGCAATTGCTCTGCTGGCATATTCCATGATAGCGCATCATGGAAAATATGCCAGCAGAGCTATTGCTTTTCATAATGCTATGTTTACTAAATAATCGTTGTTTTTATTTAATTATATTTGCATTCTTTGATGGTGTCAAGAATATCAGAGGAAATCCTGGCTTATATAAGGATGTTGCTTGTTGTTTTCAGTAAAGAAAAACACACGGCTTTAAAATTATTATACCTGATCAATGCGCCTTTTCTCTAATAAATCACGAGTCCTTCGGATGAGACCTTAAAAATCGAGGCCCCGTGTCAGCGACAGGCGATCCCTCACTGCTCAATGACCCTGAGTGCCGAGTAAAGGTCAAAATTTGAAACCCTTCACCAGCATACGGTAACGTCTCCGTATGAGTGAATAATTCTCGAGAGGGACGTTAAACAATTTACAAACAATCAATCAATCTAATAAATCACAAACAATTTATAAAGTATTAGCCTCTTTTAAAAAACAGTTATCAAATACAATGTACAATCTGCGCAGTCGTCACATTCTCTTTATTTTTGTTTTGATGCAGATGTGACGTCATCGGTCAACGTTATTGAAACCCTCTGACAAAAATCAATACTGTAATTTAACCTTATGATAAAAAGAGAAAGTTTTAATAATCATTATAACTCCAGAATGCTTTTCTATATGATTTTTTTTATTTTTTTCTATTTGTTTTTAAGAGTTGAAATCGTTCTTGAATTTTGCTTTTTATGAATGTTTATCACCCAAGTGTGAAGAGTTATCGTTCTTTGTACAAATATGCAAAAATACGATAAGAAAAAATAAAAATATAGCAGTTCTCTTCAAATTTAAAAAGTTTTATTATACAATTAAAAACATTGACCAAAATTAAATGTTTTAAATTTCTTTTTTCTCAAAAAATAATATTAAAAACTGATATTTATTCCTTTTACGAAACATTTCATATATATATATAAATACTTCTCATCACACTATATGACTGTACTAGAGCTTACACTTCACGAGTGTGAAAGAGCTATTGTATTCATAGCAGAAGCAGTTGCCTCTATAGTGTTATAAATGCAGTCGATGACTACATGTTCAAAGTGGGAGAGAGCAGTGGATATGCAAATATATTTGAATATATTACTTGGCAAAGACATTAATGGTAATCTAACAACAAAGCTCTATAATAAACTCGATGACTTTAACTATCGTCAACTTCCCTTACTTATGCAGCAATATACCTTCATCGATCACCTGCATACGGAGTTTATATATGTCAGTTGTTTCGATACACAACAGCATGCTCTAGATCAACGTATAAACAATTTCTAAAACTATATAAATTATTGACAAACAAGTTAATGAAAAAAGAATATCAGTAATCTCATTTAAAGACATAATTTCGTAAGTTTTATCGTCGATACAATGACTTTGTCAAGAAATACAATTTATCATTGAGTCAAATGCTGACTAACGTTTTTCATACTTATTGCTAGTCCATTATTTATACGCTGAATTGACGACGGGTTTTCCCGTTATTCCCGATCATGACAAGGAGCACACGGCGGGTGAGACCGGTCTGCAGGGGATGTTTACTCCTTCATGGCACCTGATCCCACCTCCAATGTTTTTGAGGTCCGTGTTTGCTCTGCTCCTATATGCTGTATTGTTTTATGGACTTTTGAGCTTAAGTTCTGTTAGTTATCTCAATATGTTTCGTCTTCAGTTTTGGAAAGCAAAAATTAACCATAGATTTTTTCTCTTTTTTTCTAGAAAGTCAAAGTATCTCAAGTAATCAATTCTTTTAAAATTGCTTTTAAAATTAGGTTCTTCGAAGCATCATTCGACTTCTAGTCAAGGAAACTGTCCATCCTTTGAAGTAGAACCAGTTTATCCCCTGTCCATGATTGTTATTGCCATATTCCCCATTGAGGTGTGATTTATGTCCAGAGTGATACCACCACGCTCCTCGCCAAAATTCTGCATTATTCAAGAATTGATCAGCGTCGTTATCATTATCAAATGTGGAGAACTGAGCCTCATTGTTGCAAAACTCGGTTGTACACGAAATTCCGTCTCCTACAAACAAGCAGTAGTATATTTTCAAAGGTACACTTATATGTTAAGGACAGATTATGCATAACTCAACAAACATAAACAAGTTGGAATGTTGTGCAAAGGAATTTTCGATTTTTGCAAAACCCATCTACAAATTAATAACAACATATTTATAGACAGGTGATACAAACATTTTTTTCTTTGGAGGAGACTTAATATCATGCCACGGGTTTAGACAAGTGGGTAATTCTTTGAATTACAGCTTGGTGCAAAAAGTGTAATTTAATTAAACTTTATGAAAATATACCATACCAATATTTTCTGGGAATGATTGGTCATTATTGTATTTTTTTAAGCATTAACTACAGATGTATTTTCCATTTGTTAATTTATGCAAGAAAATACAACAGGTTATTGAGTAAATGTAATATCAGTTCACTTTGTTCTCCTTTAGAAACATTTTAGAAGAACAAGAGGGTAAACGAATGAAGATTAAATAATTTTACCAAGATTCCTCTAGTTGTAAACTTTAAGAGGAGAAATATGGAAGGTATTCCATTCTGAAATTCTAAGGAAAAATTCAAATATTTATCCACTTTTCTAAACCGTGACATGATAATAAGACTCCTAAAAACTGTTTATATCATCTTTCCTTAATAATAAGTATGTTGTCATTGATTTGTAGAAGGGTTTTACAAAAATTGAAATTCCATTGCATGACATTCCAACTTGGTTACCTTTGTATGAGTTATGTAAAATCAATTGCGATCAAATAAAGAAAATTTGTTGGTTTGTTTTTCAACGCAATTGTTAAAACGCAATTTATTTTTCATATAATACGTGTAATCAGTGTCATTCTTATGAGCGATCGCATGGTAGTTCCGGGAAGTATAAGAATCTAAGCGTAAAAATACCAGCTGTTCCGCTGTAGCCAGACACATGGATTCGGTACTTGTCCTCCTCCCCTGCTATATAGAAACTACTGTACTCAGCATACACCGACTCTGTACCGTATTCCAATTCCACACGTAAAACTGTAAACCCATTGAGCACCAACAGACGGATGTTGTCAAGTCCTTAAAATATACAATCATTCAAAAAGAAATATTAATGGTCCGTATCATTATTGTATGATGATGTCAGAATGTAAATTATTTATTATACTTTATTTTCAAAGACAAAAAGATACTTTTCAAAGTGTTTTAAGATTATTGCATGTCAAATGTATAAATATGAGATATTTGAAATACTGTAAACGTACCTTTTTTCTCGGGAAAAAAATTACGCAAAAACATTACGTTTCTTTGGTAGAAAATAACTCGATTTTTTTAAAGATTCAACGTTAAATTTTTTGAAATATTTTAAGAACAAACTAAAAAGCACTTTCAAAATGCTGGAACAGTTTTTATGGAACCTTTTTGACCGCGAATGTTGTGTAGTGTCAATTAATACCACACGGGAAAATATACTTCTACCAAGCTAGAACTGTCCCAACCACTTTTGCTTAGAATTTAATCATTATTTTAAAATGAAAGAACCATGCAAAAAACATCTATCATTTGAGCTGATAAATGCTCATAAATATAGTTTCTCTTTTACTTCATAATAATTAACCAGTGCAATAACTAAAACTTATTTTTTACATAGCATAAAATATATATAATCGGATGCAATGTACTCACCGATCCAGAACTCCGTGATGACGTCACCGAATCCTGTCTTGTATTCCGTCCATCCTCTGAAGAAGTTCACAGAACCATCTTCTCTTCTCTGAATCATCTTAAAGAAACACATTTTAAAAGAAATTCTTAAAGTAATTTTGCATCTTTATTTGAAAAACACTTCACATTTTTATTTCAATATCACGCCATTAATTATTATCGAGGCATTTTCTGTCCTGATTTTTGAAATCTGAAATATACAAGTACATGCTATGTATTGTTTGAATATTTACCGTCCAGATATGACCATCTGTGTTAAAACAATTTGCAGAAAATTCATGACCCTCTAACTTTATTCTGTGTGACCACATTTTGCCAGTAGATGGCGTGACAGCTTCACAGTCACAGTCTTAAATTTAAAAAAAGAAATTAAAAATGAAACCATTAAATAAAATGAATGTTATTTAAAATGACAATGCTTAAGATTTAAAAAAAACTTCATTAGTGTTTGTGATAAAACTTTATTTCAATTATTGTAGCATTTTTTGAATAATCGCCTTAATATATACATGTACCAAACGATTCAATCAAAATTTGATTTGAGGTCCTGCTCTAGTAAATGAAAGGAGCCTTCAGATTTCTAAAATTTGAGGAATAAATTCCTCTAATGGTGCTTATATCTCTAGCCTAGTCAAGTTGAAAAAAGGTATCCGACCCATATTAGGACCAACATTTCTAACCTTAAATATAGATTGTGTATAAAGTACTCTAGTATTAGTACCGAGAATTTTAGATTAGAAAAGAATCTATTATGATATATTTCAAAAAGTTTAAAACATAAGCAGTATAAGTAATTATTTTTGAGTGTAGCATTGATGTCTATTTAAAGAAGTAAATTTTACTTCTTTTATCTTTTTGAAGCATTACATAGAGCAATTATTCAGAGAACAAGAAGTTAAAAATACATTTGAATCTTTGACGTGTGTTTCCTTGAAAAGATTCCTAATTGCTGCTTTCCTTAAGTGTTCTTAGGTCACCTGAGTCACTCAGGTTACCTATTGCTATCTGTTTTCGTCTGTCGTCGTGTGTCTTGTCTTAACATTGAACATTTTCAGCTTCTTATCTGAAACCACTGAATAAATTTCAACCAAAGTTGGCATAAAACATCTATGGGTGAAGGGGAACAAAAATTGTGAACTTCATGGTCCCTGCCCCCCTGGGGCCTGAGAGGTTGGGGCAAAACCACTAAAATTAGTGAAATCTTTAAAAATCTTCTTCTTTATTTCTGGACATCAAGCAGTCAAACTGTTGGCATGAATGTAATGAGCCTTGACCCCCCCCTCCCACCAAAATCGTGAAATTCATTCCCCCAGAGTCAGGGGTTCTAGTGCTATGGCGGGGGAAAATAGATTATATAATAAAAATGCATGAATTCTTTGAAAATCTTCTTTTCTGTTCCTAGGTATGAAATAAACTAACAAAGTATATAGTTTAGTGAGCAAGAATGCCTCTACCAAAATTGTGAATTTCATGGCTCCAGGGTCAGGGATTCTGGTGTAAAGGCGGGGCTCTATAATAATTATATAGTAAATATACATTTTGTCTTTGAAAGTCTTCTTTCCTTCTGGTTATTAAGCAGATGAACTACTTATAGTTATGATGAGCAAGGGCTCTTCTTCCAGAATTGTTAATTTCAAGACCCCAGGGTCAGGGTACTATAGGGGGAGCTCTACGTATATACTGAAAATGAATTAATTGTTTGAAATCTGCTCCTTGGTTTTAAGGAGGCTGGGGGTCAACAAATTAATCACAAATTAACCACCAGATTTAACTTATTTTTTTAGATATGGTATCTTAAGCTGTGAACTATCATTTGGCAGAGAAAAAATTCATAGATTTTAGTTTTAAAATTTGATTTTTTGTATACCTTTATATGGAGCTCTCCTTTTAAAGGAGTTCGAAATAGTCTGAAATTGGCTGCCACCCCCCCCAGCCTCTTTAATCAAACATTTTTGATAAGCAAGAGTGCCTTTTTAAAAATTTTGCAATGTGCGGACCTAGGGTCTGGGGTTTATGTGTACTATGGGGTACTATTGATTATTTCTGAATATTACTGATTAGTGGAAATGCATTTTAGTTCCCCTACCCTGACTATAGGTATTAAGTAACTAATCTTAGCCATTGCTACGTGTATAGTTATGATGAGTAATGGTGCTTCTTTCAAAATCGTGAATGCCATAGAATCTAGCTTAAAACATGAACCAAATTCAATCACTGAAAAGTTGTTATATGATGCTCAGGTGACCTGTAAGGCCCATGGGTCTCTTGTTTATATTGCTTGCTGCTGCTTAAACAATCAATGGAATTTTATCTCAACCATCTTAAAGTTATACTAATTCGTTTTCTTTACTCTCTTTATTTACAATTCATTATCTTTATGATCAGTAAAATATATTTTAAAAAGTTCCGTCTATTATTTATATGTACCTTTAAAAAAAAGTTTATGTAATGGTTATGTAATGGACATTTGAACTTGTATCCTGTTTGTTATCACCAAATATTTCATTACTACATGAACTTTACTGGTCAAAAATCTGTCATAATACCATGCCCTAAATGTGCCGACATTTGCAAAAACCAATATTTATTTCTATCAACAGTGTCCGTTAAAAGAGGGTGGAGATTATCAAGAGAGATTCGCAAAATAATTATAAAGTATCCGGACTTTTAACTGCAAAAATAAAAAAAAACTACTTGAAACAACACAATTTGAGAACAACTGCACAGTACTAGTGTGTGTGTTAGTTGATATTCTCTATTTTTCACAGTTTATTTAATGTTATCTGAAAGATGTCTGACTTTTTCTTTATGTTCATATAGAATACAATTTCGTGAAAAATTCGTTATCAATGTATAATTATAAAGAAAAATTACACATTGCTTTTTAGTCGAACTTCTTAATATAAGCATTTCAACCGTTCACGGTAGCCTAGTGGTAGAACGTTCGCTTTGTGATTTGGAAGTCCCTGAGTGCCGAGTATAGGTGTTGTAGAGTAGGATTTCCCTCATAGCCAGCCCCCCAACCGGAAATCGCACTCTCTAGTAGGATTTCCCCCTTCCCCGAAGGGAAATCTCACACCTGAGCCCAATTTCCCCCTATTTCTTTCTCAGAGTAGGATTTCCCCCTTTTTATAGTCAATGTAAAACACAGCCGCAATATTTTTGTGAAAAAAGAGAAACGACAAACTACAAGATATGTCTAAATTTGAAGCCCTTCACCGGCATACGGTGACTACTCCATATGAGTGAAAAATTCTCGAGAGGGACGTTAAACAATATACAATCAATCAATCTTCAGCATTTTTTTTGCCCTACTCCAGTCGTTATGAAGGATCAATGAGATCATGTCACAGTACAAATGTATCAAAACCCCGCGTATTTTTATTTTTAAATCAAGCCCTTTTTCGCTGTATAACTACTTTTCGTTTATGTAGAAAAGATGACAGAGTACAATGATTTATGATACACAGAGTAACTATACAAGTTTTCCTATAGTAGTTTTATACATACCTGTAACACACTGGCAAAGGCCATTACTTCTGTTGTAGAATGATTCCCTTCCACAGGTATGCTCCTATTAAATGTTTTTTAAAAAAATGAAATACAAGTTTCTTTCTTACTCTTTAGAACAGGCGTCAGTGTCAATGCTATCGGTCTTTTAATTATTGATGCTTATTTACATAATAAGTGGGAAAACATTTAGAAAAACGTGTGATTTTTTGTCAAGGTCTTATCAATACTTAACAAAACCGATTTTGCATGGTAATCAATTTACGGACAATAATGGAGATTTTTACAGTCTTTTTTTTCACTATAATCAATTTTAAAATATCTAAGAAGTAAAACATGCATTTCAGATGAGTACATTTAAATATTTATTTTATGACTCTCAAAAGTACAGGCATTTTAATTTTATACTTTAACATTGAAAAGATGTTTGAGTTTAACCTTGCAAGTACATCTTCAAAGAGTATTTACCAAAAAGGTTTCTGATGAGAAATTATTGAAACGAAATCTAGTGCTGCACATTCAACCAATATTTTATTTCATCTATTTACATAGATTGTAATGACGGAGTGACGCGTAAAGGTCAACATTTGAATCCCTTCACGTTTATGGTGACATCTCTATTTGAATTTTATTTATTATTTTTGTTAAAATATCAAAAATAAACAACGAATACTACTGAGCATTGTAATAACGTACATTTGCCTATTTACTTTTCGCGTTAAATACACTTCAATGGACTATGAAAAAGTACAGGTATATATTTTCATAAGCCAGAGAAAATAATTTATTGTGATTTCTTACCAATTCATAGCGAAAGCAGGTATCACTACCAGTTTGAAAGGATTTTGAAATACTTGTGCTAAGTCGAAAAATGCTTCCTTCCACCGAGGAACATATTTCCACAGCATTGCAGTCCGGGTTCTTTAGGCATTCTAGAGAACCATAGCGTAAGGAGATATCCGTGATTGTCGGCGTTAACTCGGATATCAACAAAGACTTGTCGAAATATGAAACGTTTCCTCGATATAAAAAGTTTCCAGTCACTGTAGCAGCTTCCAAATATGGCATGCACATGAATAACATACTTGGAAAAAATATTATTAAAATCATTTTTAAATTAAAGAATGTAAATTCTTTTTTTTTATTATTATTTTGGTGAGGATATGCAGCTCAATTCCAGTAAAAAATATGTCTGCTGGTTTTTACCTTAGATGCCATATATCAAATTGCTTTTCTTGAAATGTTTCCACAATTGAAACCTTCCTAAAAGCGAAATTATCTTAATAAAAATTCTTAGCTTTATATATGGGCTTTACAGACTAATTCATAAATTATTTTCACTCAGGAATAATCTGATAACAATACAAGATCCTTTAAAGAATATCGAAAATTTATTCGACAAAGTCCGGTATCAGACAGGAAACAGGAAGGGCTCTCAACTTTTTAAATTTTCTTTCAAACTCTGTAACTTGAAAGCGTTTTTAAGATAATTAATTCATCGAATAAAGCTCATCTCTGCTAACAACCAGCTTAATACCTTTGATGTGATAATGTTATTTCTATCAAAAAAGTAATACCATTATCCACACAAAACTTATACTTTCCATGTATTCGCCAGGGTTGCCTTGTCCCTTGTCGCAGTAGGTGCTAGCACAAAAAAGATCTCTCACTGCTCAATGACCCTGAGTGCCGTGGACAAAATTTAAAGCTCTCTATCGACAAGTGGTGACGTCTACGTATGAGTGAAGAATTCTACAGTGGGGCGTTAAACATTTTTTTTAAAAAGTCCATGCATTCACATACAATAAACTACTCACTCTGATACGAGGGTTGTTCGGAAAGTTCGTGGACTTTTATTATATCTTTTTTTTTTATTAAACATCATATGTTTTTTCAAACTTGGTAGAGCTATTTTAACAATAAATTTAAATGGTTTGTATTTTAAAAAAATAAAATATCGTGAATTATTTTAAAATTATCTAAAATTAAAAACTGCAAAAATCGGATCGCGACGCAGGTTAAAAAAATTGTACTTTACAAACAATACACTTGTAAATATTGTCAGTAGACATATTCTCTTTAAAATGAAAATAAACGAAAAAAAAAAACCTAGACGTTTTAATTGCATGTAAGAACCATAAAATTGAATCGTATTTCAAATTTCAAAAGATATCAATTTGAGAAGATAAAAAACGATAACGTTGAAGAACGTCACGGAGCGGCGGATAGTGATGCAGTTTTGTGTTATACTCGGGGAAAATCCTGAATAAACTCTAAAGATGTTAGAGGAATCAAAGATTTAAAAGATTTCAAACTTTTGCCACACACCGATTTTATATTCGGAGAGGAAAGATTGTCAGAATCAGAACTATTGAAATGCCCCTCATATTTCTGAAAAATTCTCGACACTATGTTTTTGACGTTATATTGCCGTTTAGTACGGAAGCCCATTTAGGACCTATCAAAAATATTTTTGAATTCGTTATAACGATTTTTGGAATTCGTTATAACGAATTTAATTTGTTATAACAGATTTATTGCATTCGTTATAACGAATTTAATTTGTTATTACAGATTTGTTGAATTCGTTATAACAAAATGAATTTGTTATTACAGATTCATTGAATTCGTTATATCGAATTTAATCTGTTATTACAGATTTGTTTAATTCGTAATAACGAATTTAATCTGTTATTACAGATTTTTTGAATTCGTTATAACCAAATACTTGAATTGGTTATAACGAATTCAACAAATCTGTAATAACAGTTTAAATTCGTTATAACGAATTCAATAAATCTGTTATTACAAATTAAATTCGTTATAACGAATTCAATGAATCTGTAATAACAAATTAAATTCGTTATAACGAATTCAATAAATCTGTTATAACAAATTAAAATTCGTTATAACGAATTCTAAAAATCTGTTATAACAAATTAAATTCGTTATATCGAATTCTAAAAATCGTTATAACGAATTCAAAAATATTTTTTGATAGGTCCTAAATGGGCTTCCGTAGTTTAGTGTGTTCCGCTGATACAAAACATTTTGGTTTTAGAATGAAGTAAATTGATTTCTACTTAAGTTTTGCACATCAATAAAACAAATATTTTTTTTTACTTGACATTGTGCTTATTTTAAATTTATTGACAGTAATAATGTTTATTGACATCGTCCCGTGAACTTTTCGAGCAACCCTTGTACAATCCAAGGGATTTTAAAAACACGTATTCAAGTGACAATTAAAGTGACAATTAAAATATAACAATTACTTTCAATTGATCCAGTTCAAAATTGAATCAATAACCTTATTTAACTTTAATAGTTTAATGTAATTTCGATATTCATACTGTTGCAATTCAGGGTATTTTTATTGTCTCAATTATTGCCAATTCTTTCTCTTCGAATATAACTTAAAAGCGGTGTGTTGTTTTTGAGTGATATACCAAAACAGCTTGAGTCGAAAAAATACATGGTAAGCTTTGACTATCCCCATTCATTTTTTCAAGTATATGAACTAAAATTGCAAATGGATGAATAACGACTTTTATATCCTTGTAAAATAAATGCTTTTTAATATTCGTTTAGAATATGCGGTGTAAAAATATATACTAGTACATTTTAAAATCATTAACAGATTCTAAATTTTGACTTATTGAAATCGACATTTCTGTTGAGGTCTAAACATCTCCTGTTCGTAAAGCTGTAAAAAAAAACAGTATAAGAATGTAGAGGAAAACTTTAGAAGGTCTTTAAAAGGACATAGTGACCATTTATAAACTTTTCTGATCTCTTTTAAAAGAAGACTCCATATAAAGGTAACTATACAAAATGATCAAATTTTAAAACTTACTGGTAAACGTTAAGTTGATGACCCCTTTAAAAGAAAATATCTACTTTGGGGACTTTGTAAGATATCCCAGATGGATAAAATCGACATTAAAAAAAGAGCTTTAAAATGACACAAGTTCACGCATTAAATCAGGGGGAGTGGCTAATATATTGCTAGAATCAACAATGACAAGTAAATACAATATGTATATGTCGAACTTTTGGACAATTTGAAATCAGAAAATTTTACCAAAATCAACAGCTTAAAAACTTATGACTTTTCAACTTTATACACAACCATTCCCCACGATAAATTAAAATCCAGGCTTTTTGATATCATTGACAGCTGCGTCTTCAATAAAAATAGAACTCGTAAATTTAGTTACCTAGTCATTGGTCATTTGCAAAATTATTTTGTTAAAAAAGATTTTTATTGCACACACAAATACTCTGAAGTTGACATCAAGAAGATGCTTGAATTTCTGATTGACAATATCTATGTGGTTTTTGGAGACCAGGTCTTCCAACAATCTATGGGAATTCCCATGGGAACCAATTGCGCTCCGTTATTAGAAGACCTATATTTGTATTCATATTCATATGAAGCAGAATTTATGCAAAATCTTACACGTGAAAAGCAGAAAACACTTGCTGTGGCCTTCAACTCGACCTTCAGATTAACAGATGACGTCTTGTCAATCAACAATGGTAATTTGTATTCCTACGTCAATACGATATATCCAGGAGAGCTTGAGATCAAAGATTCCACAGACTTTGTCACATCTGTTTCATACTTGGATATTTTACTTGAAAAAGACGTTAATGGTAACCTAACAACCAAGTTATATGATAAACACGACGACTTTAACTTTTCTATCGTCAACGTCCCTTACTTATGCAGCAATATACCTTCATCACCTGCATACAGAGTGTATATATCTCAGTTCATTTGATACGCAAGAGCATGATCTACGTATGAACAATTTCTATAACAAGGTAAATTATTGACAAGCAGGTTGATGAAACAAGAATATCAGCAATCTCGTTTAAAGTCATCATTTCGTAAGTCTATGGTCGATACAATGACCTTGTCAGCAAATACAATTTATCCTTGAGTCAAATGCTGACTGACGTTTTTCATACCAATTGTTAGTCCATTATTTATACACTGAATTGACGACGGATTTTTCGTTATTTCACGATCATGTAAATGAGCACACGGCGGGTGTGACCGGTCGGCAGGAGATGCTCACTCCTCCATGGTACCTGATCCCACCTCTGATGTTTCGGAGGTCCGTGTTTGCTCTTCTCCTGTTTTTTATTGTTTTATGGACTTTGATATTGAATGCTATTCGTTATCTCCATATAATTCATCCATATATATTTTACCCCGTGGGGATCCGGATTAGAATAGGTCCTCAGTACCCCCTTGATTATCGTAAAAGGCGACTAAATGGGGCGTTCCTTCGGATGAGACCGTATAAACCGAGGCCCCGTGTCACAGCAGGTGTGGCACGATAAAGATCCCTCCCTGCTCAAAGGCCGTAAGTGCCGAGCATAGGCCTAAATTTTGCAGCCCTTCACCGGCAATGGTGACGTCTCCATATCAGTGAAATATTCTGGAGAATCTGTAAACTTAAGGGTGATTTTGTCTAACACGTGTACCTTTGGAAATACTCACTTTACAACTGCAAAGCAATTACTTTGATGTGGTGCAAATCCAAGATCAATTTATAGGGGGAATGAAACACCTTTAAACATTAAAAAGAAGGTTAAACAACATCGGATATATTGAAAGTATGGATTATCAACGTTTTTTAATCGTAAACGTTTGAAATTGTTTCCCAACTGTGTCGCCTGTCTATTCTGCATATTATAAGATTTGAAAATATTTTGTATCGAAAGGGGTGACGTTAAAGCAAAAGATTTTAAGGCTGGTCTGTCTTAGTCATAGATGCACGGCACTTATTCTATTACAATGAAACATTTTTCTCACTTGAAAAAAAAATCAAATCAGATATTTTGGTGGGTTCAAATTTTCAAGGTTTTGGGAAAAAATATTGGTTAGTGGGAATTTGATATCTTGGTTGGAAAATATTCCGCAATGGATAATCATAATGCAATTGCAACTTTAAATTAACCCCTAGGAAAATCCGTATACTGATGCAATACAAAGTCATGTTGCTGTATACTCCTTCATACCTTCATAAGAAGAGGAATTGATGCTACTGTCAGAGATTCTTATAACAAACCTTCATTTAAGGTAGGACCAAATAGATAGGTCAAATTTTTCCTCAAATTCAATTTTTCTGAAACTTTGATATTTTGTTCTTGGATACAGAATCTCTCTTTATATATGATATGAAAGAAATTCAACCGCACATTTTTTGTCCACATAGTCTGAAATATGGCCTTTCAGACCCCTGTAAGAAGTTTGTGAAATCAGACATTCGACTTGATAATGAGCCTTATTTTAGAATTGTCTATTGATCTACTGCAAATTTGTGTTATACTTTTAATAAAGATAACCTTTTTTGCTACTTTAAATCAGTAAGTCACATTGATACTGGAAAATTTGGGTAAAATATTAAGTAAAAAAGAACATACATCGTGTCAGAAACTGAAAATTCACATGTAAATATCCGACAGTTTAAGTTTTCTTAAGAGAAAATGTATAATTCAATTTTTACAAAAAATTAACAGAATGATTCAAATGGGTCTTAGAATAAAATGTGTAAAAATAAAGAAAATTGAACCGGTGGTTTCAGATATTTTGGTGATTTAAAAAAAAAACTTCAATGGCAAAAAAAAAAAGATTCAGTAGATGATCACAATATTTGACCTTTGACCTCTTGATATGACCTTGACCTTTGTAGTACATAAAGAATGGAGACCTCTTATATTAGTGTCCAAATATCAGCCCTCTACTATTTATGGAACAAAAGTTGCACTGCATTTTATAACAGACTGTTACATGCTTGTTTATTGCACTTAGATAGTGTAAACACATTCCAAAATGTAAGCTCCCAAGTGACCAATATATAAAATTCTCTGATTTTTTCACAAAATACAACGCAAATTTGCCAAAACTTATTATTTTTCTTTCAGTGATCATTTATTGTTGTCCGTATAATAGTATTACTCTTTTTTCCTCCAGTACTTTTTTAAAGAAATTGGTTAAAATAGAATCCATGGGTGTTTTGTCCTACCTTAAATACTAGTAAACAAACAATTTGAGGAATGTAAAAGAACTTGTTGGGAAAGGAGGAAATTGTCAATGCAGAAGACAATAAATGCTATGGGAAGTACTAGTATACATGCGTATTTATACAATGTATTTTGAAGGTATCGATCTAGTTGCTTTCTTGTCGTTCATTCATAAATACGGAAACAGATCATACCTTAATATAGACCTTCGATCGATTTTCATTAGGTTTTTTCAAAATTTTCGATCAATATTATGAATTTATTAAAACAATAGTGTTTTCCATTGATTTTATTGTTTCATGGACTGAGTTTACCAACTTAGTCTGACTTCTACGGGATAATGGTCGCTAAGATCGTAGGCCTATAAAGAAAATGAAAAGAAATATACTTGATTAAAATTGAATAAATTGATATAAATAATTAATAAGCCATAGTTAATGCATCACAGAAATCTCTGAAACATTTGTCTTTAAAACAAAATATCACTGCAAACTGCTTCCTTCAGTAAGGAACTAATCAAATTGCAGATTACAATTTATATTCGTCAAATTATACTTAATTCAACACTGTCGGAATTCATCACTCACAGAAAGCAAATACGAATGTGTGATATATACACTTACTCGGTCATAGCTGAGACCAAACACCTGATCAAAGCGGTAGATGTCGGCTGTAGCTGGAATAACTGACGTCACCATTCTGTTACCCGATACCACGATTCTAAGGTAATCGATACTTATATTGTAAACTATGTACATTGTACTTTGAAAACACGACATTTCACTACATGTTTATCTGGCGTTTCCAAATTGAATTAGGTATCGAACAAATAAGTTAAATCTTACAAGTTGGAAGTCCAATGTTGTCAAAGACTGATAGTTTTGACAAACTTTCCAAAATCTTGGTTGATTACATATTTCCTGTATATCGGTTAAGTTATGTTAGGTCTTGATATTTTTTATTTCATGTTGACATAATTATCTTGCATGTTGACATATAATAAATCTAAAGATGAATAACTTGCATACAATAGGCACAAATATGTCAACATAATAACCATGTAAATAAAGATAAGTGTAAAAGAAAGCTACATTATCAAAAAGGGACCAAGATTAATAACGAAAGAAAGTTACCTACCCTCAAATAAGCATAATGAAATAAGTATTTGATATCCGTAAACTCGAAATTATAGAGCAGACCTGTCATAGGCACAATCTGTTGTAGAGGTGGTGGTGTCAACGTTCCAGTCAATCAGCCACTGAAACAGGGGGTCTGTGTAGAAGGCCTTACTGGAGAGCTCCTCCTCAGAGGCATAGGAACAGTCAGCATTGAAATCCCCCATCAATATTATATTCTAAAAATAACAAGAAACCCCCCATCATTATTATATTCTGAAAATAACAAGGGACTCTCCATCACTATTATATTCTATAAATAACAGGAAAATCCCTCATCACTGTTATAACCTAAAATTAATAGAAAAATCTCTAATCAGGAAAAATTAAACTTTTCGATATAAATGAATTATGAAGGGTATTAATGTGTTAAATGAAAGGTAAACAGGATTACCGGTGTTCTCCAGTGATTATAGACGTCGTAGTACACAGTCTCCAGGTGGCCTATTTCAGACACGGCATCGGCAGGTTTGGCATGGATACCAGTCACCGCAAACGCGTCACCTTTGAAATGGAGCACAAAACATGCGTACACTGTAATGCATGAATTCTTCTTACAATACGAAAGATATGTAATATCATCTTGGCAGAGTAAACACTGGCAAAATGTTATATCACAGGTGGGACCAAGTGTCATAAGGGAGACACCTGAAGTACAATATTCCAGATCAAAGGAGACGACTAAATGACAATATTTCAGATCAAAGGAGACAACTAAAGGACAGTGTTTATGATCAAAGACTATTTGAACGATACAAATCGACAGCACAGAAAAAGAGGGCTATCAAAACCATCGGAAGTGTGATCATGGAGGAGTGAGCCCGGTCATGGTTAAAAAAACGGGAAAATATACATACGATTCAGAGTGTAAAATAGCAATCAGTATGAAAAGCGTCAGTGAGCATTTGACTTATTCATGCTAATAATGTAACTGCTGACCAGAGTATTGTATCGACTATAAAACTTGAAAATACATTACTTATACGACACTGTTCATATCCTTGGTACTTCAAGTTGTTCCTCAATAGCCTGTATCGGTTTAGAAATTATTCATATGCTATATACATAGGTAAGGAAAATTAACGATTGAAAAGTTAGTCATCAAGTTTATCATTTTGCTGTTAGATTTCCAGAAAGGTCCTTATCTAGTAAAAACCTCCAAATATGGAAGATATGTTTTAGACTCTCGGATATCTTTTAAGATCACTGGAATAGACTGAGTCGACAATTGTACGGATGTAGCTATTTATGGCTAATAACACGTCGTCGAGATATCTAAATACCGAGTTAAAGGCCCTGGAAAGCGTTTTGTTCATGATATACTTGAGAATCTGAATAAATTCTACTTTATATAAATATAAAAATATGTCTGCTAATAACGGATCGTCATCCAGTAACCTCTTCCGTGTGCTCCTTGTCTTGATAGGACATAAGTGAAAATTCAATCGTAAATCCACCTAACGATTCAAAAAAGAAGCTTTGGGTTGTATTTTTTTACCAATTTTAAATAGATAAAATTACCTGCAGATCTTCCTACAGGTAGGAAATAAGCACTGTAAGGTTCCCTCTCAAAAATGTCGGTATAGTCGTCCGGTCCGTCATCGTACTGATGGGTTCCCACTAACTGAAGGCTAGACAGTCTGTAAAAGCAATAGTGTGGCGTTCTTTAAGAATCTATATGTTAATTTAGTGACAACCTATATAAGAAATAGTGAGGCGTCCGTAAAGAAATCATATCATAAAAATTAAGTGTAACAAGCAAATGAACTCAAACTTGCGATGAGTACCCCGGTATTTAGATTTAGATTATACAGGGGTATATGCATGTAATGAGCACTGGACAATAAACTTTTACCATCAAATATGCAAACTGAATCCACGTTTACCTGTAGAAATAAGCATATTGCTCTTTGTAAGAGGACCGTCCTAGTCGTTCACTGATGGTCATTCCGTAAGGTCTGGTGCTGTGGACATAAAGATGGTGAATGAAAAATTCTATATTGCAATAGTATTCTTGATTGGTGAAAAAATCTTACATTTACGTTGTACTTTTGATACAGTATATTCAGAAATTCTGAATGTAGCTACTAACGCATTGACCATCTGCCACAATTGTTGAATTGACTCTCCGCTGACGTCACGAATCTCTTGAATCAGAATGAGGTCATACCGAAGAACAATCTGGAATTGTAATCACAACAAACATATTAAGGTCAGACGACACGTTCCTCAACAATACATAATTTTTCCCAAGACTTTGTCATTGAAATCTAGGTACATAAACAAGTCTCACAAAAAATGGGGTACCTTACCAGGTATTTGGACAAGGGTGATATTTCTTATATATCCCATATGGGTTATCATCTGAATGTCTTTTATCACAATTTTTGATGTACTTATATTTAAAACATATTGAAAAGACAATGAAGAAATTACAAGAGAAGGACAAATATGCATAGTTTTTATATAATACCAAGAGATACAAAAGATATATATTTGAGGAAATGTCGTCTGACCTTAAATGAAATGTTTTGAAGTTGTACCTTCTATCATATCATTGATGCCGTTGATATTAGCATTTGGGGTGAATTAAAATCTCAATATTATAAATTTAAAGTTTCAGATATGACCGTTATTAATATTCTTCAAAATGACATCATCAACACAAAAAAAAGAAAATTTGTTTTAATGATTTATTGATTCCATTTTCTGTAATCCTAGTTTTTACACTGAAAATTCTAAGGATTGCTCCGTTTACACGATCATGACAACGATCACACGGCGGGTGTGACTGGTCGACAGGGGATGCTTACTCCTCCATGGCACCTGATCCCACTTGGCCCGTCTTTATTTGCACGGTTCCTGATTTGTATTGTTTCAATAAATATAAGGTTTGATTATTTTTCTTTTTCTCAACATTACTTTGGCAGATTTTTTAATCATATTCCTATACCTGCCACACTTTCTGATGAAAAGTTTATGAATTATACCGCGCAGTTTTGTGGTACATGTGGATAGACAGGTAACATGATGGATTTAAATAGTTGAGCAGTGAATATCATCCTAACCTGAAGTATCTTTAATAGAACTTTCTTTTCAGTGTCTTTAAAATGTTCCAGATTATTGAATTTCTGCATTCCCTGTTATTGTCAACTTACCTATCAGTAGAATAGTTAAAAGAGTCTGAGATGTAAAAAATAAAAAACAGGTGAATGTAGAACATCACTTATGAACAAAAACAGTTTTCAGCTATTCTAAAGTCCACAAAAAAAATCTCATTTAGCTGTTGTGTAATTGAAAATATATAGCATGTGATTGACAGTGGTAAATTTCCTCATTAGAGGAGTGAGTGAATAAAAAGCTAAAATTATATCCTTGTTATAGTATATATTACAAACAAGTCTGAAAAACATAAAAAGCCTTTTACTTTCCATAATTCAAAAAGTGGCAGCTAGCGCCTCGAAGGACAATATCTCTAACCTGTTTGATATATTCTGCCAGTTCAGCATCAGCCATTTTGGCCTTTCCAAAGGTTTTGATGTTAAAAGCGCAGATCAACAGCTCATTGGTGGCTCTAGCAGGAATCCTGGACAACACGGAGGCCGAGTATACGGCGGTCAGGGCGGATAAAGTCAGCAACACCAACGTCTTCATCCTAAATAGGAATGTTTAAAGTTGTGCATATTTCTACTATGCACATCCTAAATATAAGATCATTTCAATAAAATATGACAATCTTTATAATGACCGTTTAAAGCAATATATGAGCTTCAACTTTGATGTCAAAAAAAATTGTTGCTAAATTGTTAATAACCATTTCTATAACAGAAAAAAATAACATTAATAAACTTCTGTTGTTCATATTTGCGATGGAAGAACCTGGAACTATCAATAAACTTCGATTGAATCAAAATTACATAATTGTCTTTCTGTACAATAATGATTCCTTATATAAAACTGTTTTTTTGATTGTAAATAGATGTATTTTTACTGCTTTAGTTTAGTCGTATTTTTCATAGATATTGAAGTTACATGTATACAACTTTATCATCATAACACATATATTAACTGCGATATAATTGTTTTAGAATGCCGCTCATTTTGCTTTAAATTAAAAGCATGTCCGGTTTTTTTACGCATTAAACCTCACAGCTAGGTGTTTGCACAAAATCTAGTTTAATCAATAAATGCTGATTCCTAATTGTCATACTTTTCCCGCCATGCATAATATTTGTATTTTTAAAAAGGAGGAGGATCGAACAGCTTTACGGAAATGTTTTCATTCACAACATGATTTTAATCATACAGAATGTAACATAGCGATATTTAAATCTATGATCATTAGAAAACAGAGTATTAATGTGTTAATTAATTGAATGTGAATTTCTCCTAGTGGAAAGTAAATAATGCCTAATATGCATAAAAATCTCCCGCAGCGGTTTTCGTGTTTAATAGACTTACTTTCTTTTCATTATTTATATCTGCAATTAAATTTCTCATAAAAGGAATCACTGTCAAATTTGTTATGCTATGTCAGAGCATCAGCTACAGTTAAAAACATAAATTAATTTACGCAAAAAGATACTGTGGATAAAGAGGTGACCTCAAAATTATAATTTAACATATTCTGAACATTTTAGAAGAATTTTGTTTGACAAATATTAATTATTTCTTATTGATTCCTGTCATTATACTTTACTTAGGTCGACATTTTTTCAAGGTTTATTTCTAAATAGAAAAACGAAAATACCACATATTAAAATATACATAGGTAAATTTATATAATTTATCCTGATTAAAAAGTGTTCGTCATAAACAAATTATATACATATGGTATTTATAGATAAGTAAATACTAGTATTCCCCATGTTTCTATACAAGCTTACCTGATGTTGGAGGGCGCTGGTCCTGTGTTCCTTTGGTCATTTCGTCTTCACCCTATGATTTATATCTCATCAGATGTTCGGTTCTCAATACTTTAAATTTACAATTTGTTTAAATTCTGACCTCAATTGTAAATCATTGGGTGACGGTTAGAACAATGTTAATCTTCTCATACTTCATATTCTTCATCGATGGTTATATTTATACTTGTTATATATAACAATAAAAACTTTCTATTTATCATTGGATTTTTTTCCCTGCAAAATGCAGTATTTTTATGAAACAATCTCAATAGATGTTTTATTACTTTGATTAGAAATGGTATAATTAATAAAGATAAAGAACTGGATCTGATTTTTTATGAACTGTATCATAAACATGTAGATTGAAACTAGCGTCCATTCAAATGATTGAATACTTGGTTACTCATCATTTCGTGAAAAATGCTTTATTTCCTACTTCAATGACGTACCCAAAACTTTTCATTATCCTCAAATTATTTGATAACAATTAATTTAAAATGAAGCAAACATTATTTTTGACACAAGTGCACATTAATTTCTTCACTACAGGGGATGTTACTATTCAAATGTATCACGTTACTAAGAGCAATAAAGTAATAACTGTGTTTAGAATGTAAATACTTGAAACTGTCTTGCAAATAGAGTTGTATTCAAATGTGATGTGAAACAAAGCGAATGCCGTTTAGGTTAAAAAATACCGAGCTTTTTCTTACTTTGAATGCCTATTGTATCCATTACTATAGTCACGTTGAGCGTGAAGTAAATGATACCACAGAGTCTGAGATATCTTGTCTCACATTTCAATATTTTACTGGAAAGATACGTCATTAATTGAAAAATTAACAAAAACGCTTTATGATAAACGTGAAGACCATTTGTTTCAATATAGTCAACTTGACATATTATGCAGAGATATGTCTTAAACATCTGCATGCGGTTAATATAACTCGCAGTTGATTCGATAATTCAGAGCATGCTCTACGTTTGTACAATTTCTAAAACGAAGTAATTTATTAACAACCAAGTTTACGAAACAGACATACAAGAAGCAGCTCCCTCGTTTAAAGTCATCATTTTGCAAGTTCTGTGGTCAATACAATTACCTTTTCAGCAAATACAATCTTTCACTAAGTCAAATCCTTATGACGTTTGTCTGTGAATTTTTCCGATCATGACAAGGAGCACATAGTAGTTGCTCACTAAATTATTGACAAGCAAGTTGATGAAACAAGAATATCAACAGTCTCCTTTAATGTCATCATTTCGTAAGCTCTATGGTCGATACAATGACCTTGTCAGCAAATACAATTTATCACTGAGTAAAATGCTGACAGATGTTTTTCATACCAATTGCTAGTCCATTATTTATACACTGAATTGACGACGGAGTTTTTTCCGTTATTTCCTGATCATGACAACGAGCACACGGCGGGTGTAACCGGTCAGAAGGGGATGATCACTCCTCCATGGCACCTGATCCCACCTCTGATGTTTCGGAGGTCCGTGTTTGCTCTGCTCTTATTTTGTATATTGTTTAATGGACTTTGAGTTTTAATACTGTTCGTTATCTCCATATCCTTCACTCCTCCATGGCACCTAATCTCATCTTTGGTGTTTTAGAGATCTGTATTCGCTCTGCTCCAAAATTGCCATTGATTAATGGACTTTTGGATGTGAATTCTGTTCTTTATCTCCATCTATTTCATTTCAATCTTTACATGTATATCCTATTCTTGAGTATAAATTTATCTGTCCTTTCGACCTTGACCTTGGAATTTGATTGTTTTTTTAACATTAATCCTCGTTATAACTTTTGAATAATCTGTATGAAGGGCTTTAATGAAACATGTGGAGAGAACGAACAGTAATCAAGATCAAAGTCCATAAAACAATACAAAATAGGAGCAGAAAAAGGACCTCCAAAACAATAGAAGTGGGATCAGTTGCCACGTAGAAGTTAACTTCCCCTGCCGACAGGTCACAACCGTCGTGTGCTCCTTGGCATGATCGGGAAATAACGGAAAAATCCGTCAATTTAGTATATAATGGACATTAAACAATTACATGTAGTATGAAAAACGTCAGTCAGCATTTAACTCAATGAAAAATTGTATTTGCTGACAAGGTCATTGTATTGACCATATAATTTACGAAATGATGACTTTAAACGAGACAGCTGAAATTTTTGCTTCTTCAACTTGTTTGTCAATAATTTACCTCGTTTTAGAAATTGTTCATACATAGAACATGCGCTTGTGTATCAAATCAACTAAGAAACGTAAACTCCATATGCAGGTGATTAAGGTAATATACATGTATTGCTGCATAAGTAAGGGAAGTTGACAATAGAAAAAGTTAAAGTCATCAGGTTTATCACAGAGCTTGGTTGTTAGATTACAATTAACGTCTTTTTCAAGTAACATATCCAAATATCAAACAGATGTGTCAGACTCTGTGATATCTTTTATCTCAAGCTCACCAGGATATATCGTATCGCCATAGTAATGGAAATTACCATTGTTAACTGACAATGCGTTATCAATATATCTAAAGGTCGAATTGAAGGCCACAGCAAGTGTTTTTGCTTCATATTAATACAAAAATAGGTCTGCTAATAACGGGGCGCAATTGGTGCCCATTGGAATTCCAATAGATTCTTGGAAGACCTGGTCACCAAAAAGAACATAGAGCTGACATTGTCAATCAGAAACTCAAGCATCTTTTTGATGTTGACTTCAGAGTACTTGTGTGTACAATCAGAATGTTTTTTAATAAAATGATTTTGCAAATGACTAATGACAAGGTTTGTAAATTTACGAGTTCCATTTTCATTTAAAAAGCAGCTGTCAGTGATATCGAAAAGACTGGACTTTAATTTATCCTGGGGAATGGTAGTGGATAAAGTTAAAAAGTCGTGAGTTTTTAAGCTGTTGATTTTGGCAAAATCTTGCGATTTCAAATGGTCCAAACCTTCCTTTGACTTTTTAAGTATCCACATCGGATTTACACCATCTCTTGAATATATTGTTGCACAGTACTCTTGAAGTTTCTCCTTCACTATTGGTAATATTTTAATGAGGAGTAAAGAAAGAGACTTGGTTGAACATTTACTGGAACCTGCTATGTATCTTTGTTTGTAGGGATTCTTATGAAGTTTCGGAATCCAATATATACAGTATGATGCAATATATATTCGGACAAGATGGCGGTGAGTTTACATTTTTGTCATGTAAGTAACATGGAGGCATGTTCACAAAACTTTGGTCTCTCAACATCACTAGTGGGATCATCGGAATTTGTCAAGAAATCAAAGTTGAGACTCGACTTCAAAGTTCATTGAGTGATTTAAAAAGTGACAAGGATATTATGCACCTGGGGTCAATAATCAGTAAGTCGTCTTATTTTCAGAAAATATCCTTTTTTTCAAAAACTTTTTAAAAAATTTCACATAAGAAAAAGAGAAATTGTTGAACACAATTACGTGAAGTAGGATGTAATATGATTACATAAATTTTCCATGCTATACATTTTCATTAAGGTTTACAAACAAAATATATGTCATGGCATAAACAAATATACTGTTAATCAATTTTTATTCAAGTACATCAGTGACTTTCATGACCTTGTTTTACTTGCGAATATTTCTTGCCACAAACTTTTTATTTGTAAATAAAATAGTGACATGCTCCGTGAAGCATATTTTTCTCTTAATGATTAGTTGTATATTTTTTTACATATCATCAGAAATCATTCGGATCTTTGTATATTTATTAAAAAACATGCATATTTCACTGGTTCATGCAATTAGCATGCTGAAAATAAAATTTGTCCTTGAACTTTTCTAAAAACCCTCGTACTAATATGTAGGATCCTTAAAATAGCAAATGTATACAGTCATGTACATGGCAAAAATATGACTGCATTAAACAAGCACTCATCATAAGAGGTCCATAGGCAACAACATTCACCTGGGTCAATTTGGCCCCACTGTTCTTCATTAGCAGATTTTTAAAATCCATTTTTCGTAAACACTGACTCCGTATTGTGGACCAAACTCTAGTCCTAAGAGAGCTTTGTTTTAATCAAAGCTTAATCCACACAACACTTGGATGCTTCCATAGGATCAACATGGCCCTGCTGTTCTGCAGAATATTTTTCCTGTACACATGCATTATGTAATGCCCCTTTAATAACTCAAGAAGGCAAAATGTGTATGTGGCTATTCCTGATACGTAAGTAAACTTCTAACTCTACAGAGCAAACCAAGATTAAACATTGTATCCAAAATTTCTTCTCGATCTTTTCTAACCAAAAAGTTGTAAGGCTTTGAGTAATGAATGTAACTTCTCTTATCGTCCACCTTTGTACCATATTTCAAGCACACCAAATGTCCCTTCTCCCAATCCAAACGTGTGAAAATGATCTGCAATGTTGATATAAACATATTGTATTCATTTTATACAAGTAATAGGGAAAAATATTTTACAGGGACTGAATTCAGTATGTTTCAAACAATGGCACCATGAGCACCTCTTAATTTGCTGGGTAATCATTATATTTAAGATACAAGTACAATAGTGAAATACTGTAGTTTATCTGTTATCCTCTTTGTGATTACCAGATTTGTTCTTTTTATAAGTTTATTAATTATGAATATCAATGATATTACAAATTATAATGGTAATGATATTGGCAGTAATAATGACAGTGTGCTGTACAAATGAAAAATAAGAAAAACATGACATTACTTACAAATGTAAATTCACATGAATATTATGAAGCATTACTAAAAAATATGAATAAAAATAATTTTACAAAATATGACGGACAGTTGACCTTTTCATTATAAAGATTTATAACATATTACACTCATAATAATCTCATGAATAAATATAACATGCTTTCATATAAATCTTACCCCAACTAGGGCCTCAATGCATAAACTCAGGTCAAGGTCACCGTCGACCACAGTAATACTGTACAACCTAACCAAAAATCAATATACCTATGTTACCTCTAATTGTAGTTGTAAACAATAAAAAAGTATATCTCGTAAAATAATTTTAAACTTCTTCATAACAAAAGTCTATTAAACATCACCAGAAATAAAATGAATAGCCAATATTATATGGAACGTTTATCAACAAAACATGCTGAACTTATTCTATTAAAATAAATATTTTCAGACTTTACAAATATTAAAATAACCCTACCAAAACATACTTTACTATCATGAGCAAAGCTATATTAACAAAAAAATGTAAACTTACAGTTGGTACACCTAGCTAGAGATAATATTCAGCAGAGCTTCAACAATGTTACTGTTCAACACACAGCCTTCATAGCGCGAAACATTTCGTGCAAAATCATAAACTATGAAGTCACGTGATCACAGGAAGTGATGTTGAAATTATCAAAATATTAAACAATACATTTAAATAAAAACTTGTGTGTAGTTTCCATCATTATTTGAAAAATGACAATGACAAAAATTATTTTAAATAAAAATCTTAAATACTTTAGCTGAACAGAATTTCTGTTACTAAAAATAGATGCGGAAATTACCCTCAATGACAAACAGTGTATGAAAACAAAGAGAGATAACTCTTTTGTGAAAATCACCACATCACATTCTTCCCTGCTAAGTATTTTTGCTTTCCACAGCAAAAAATTGAAAAATATACACACACACAAAAAAATATTTTTCCAGAAGACAAATATACTAATTTTCAAAAATATTACAAAATGTCTGATTCAAATCATATTTACACAAAAATTTCTTGCGATTCTAAAACGGATTGTGGCAACTTGTTCGGATTCGAATGTTTTCCTGCGGTAGTTCTCAATGATCTGCGCACCGGAACCGGCTTCCCTGCTTTTTCTCTTGCATCCTCTGAATGTACGGAGTTTCCAGTATTTGTATTGAATTCACATTTTTCACTTGAATTACATTTTTCAATTGAATCACATTTTTCACTAGATTCACATTTTTCACTTGATTCACATTTTTCACTATGAATTCCCACTGAAGAATCCTCACCATTCACATCTGTCTGTAACCGGTCTGCTGGTATGTCTGATTGTGTTTCTTTATCCTTGGAATCTTTCTGCGCTGAAATTTTCTCCATAGGTTGAGGATAGAGAGTTGACCATCCACTTCCCTCATCTTTTTCGGTGTTGTCCACAGCATCGACTTTCTTCAGGGAATCACAAAACTCTCCTGTATTTAACAGTTCTGTTCTGGTAACTGTTTTCTTTTCTCCTGAACCATCTAACATCTGTACTGTGTATACGTTATTTTCACGTTTTTCAAGTACTTTGTATGGAGTTGAGTTCCAATGATCTTGAATCTTGTTTCTGCCCAAAATGTGATTCTTTAATAACACTATGGATCCTACTGGAATAGGTTTTTCATGTGCGTTAGCATTATAACGATCTCGTCTATTCTCAGCATTTTTCTCTATGTTATCTGAAGCTAACTTCATCATATCCTGCATTTTCTTGTTATGCTCTAGAATCCAGTCATCCACACCTTCCTGATTCTCCTCTGAATTTAAAAGCAAGTCTATCGGTAAACGTGGGTTTCGTCCGAACATTAAATAGTATGGCGACAAACCTGTAGACGCATGTGGAGTTGCATTGTAGATGTATGTCATCTCAGCTAAATAATCAGGCCATCGCTTCTTCTTCTCAGGTGGTAAAGTTTTTAATCTGTCATGCAACGTACGATTATATCGCTCACATTGTCCATTCCCAATGGCGTGATAGGGAGTCGTCCTTGACTTTTGAATGTTATAGATCTTGCACAATTCCTTGACTACATCACTTTCGAAATTCCTTCCTCTATCAGAATGAATACGATGAGGTATGCCGAATTTGAAAAACCAGTCTTTCACCAATACCTTTGCCACTGTAACTGCCTTTTGGTTTGGGGTCACTATAGCTTGTGTAAACTTTGTAAACACATCTGTTATGATAAGCACATTTTCTTTTCCATCACTAGATTTCTCGAGGAGAGTAAAATCTATGGCGACAATTTCCAATGGCTTATGAGCTATCAAACTTCCAATTGGCGGTCTAACAGTTGGTATAGGAGCCTTGGCAATCATACAGCGCTCACATTTCTTGATCCAATGTTGAATGTCGGAATACATTCCTGGCCAAAAACATCTCCTTTTCACGAGTGCGAAAGTTCTCTCAATTCCTTGATGACCAGAATAATTATGCAGAGAGTCCAATACTTGATATCTCAAGGATTCTGGAAGTATTAACTGCAAAAATTCTCCCTCTGAGTCTTGACATTTCTTGTAAAGAACACTATCTTTGAGAACTAGTTTGTCCCATTTATGCAGTAGTTTTCGTGCAATGGGTGGTTCCTTCCCAATTAATCTCAATGTTGGTTTATGTCCTTTCTTTAACCATGATAAAACGGCAGCCAACGAAATGTCTCCCAATTGTAATTTTGCAAGCTCTTCCTTGGAAAATTCTGGAAACATCTTAGTTGCTATAAACTCAGAATCATCTTTTGATTTTTCCTTAGTCTGCAGGCTCTGCACATCAGTTAATGTTGTACTTTTCACCAAATTGGTAAGAATTTCTTCTGAATATACATGTTCTGTTTTATCTGCACACCATGCCACTGACATTTCCTCGGTTGAAATGGATTCTGCATGAACAGTTTTTCTACTAAGTGTGTCAGCATTCCTATTTGAACGTCCTGATCTGAACATGATCTCAAAGTCAAATTGCGCCAGTTGAGCAGCCCATCTCATTTCTACGGATCCTAACTTAGCAGTCTTAAAATGGCTTAACGGATTGTTGTCGGTGTAAACAACGAATTTTCCTCCTAACAGATAGTCTCTGAATTTTTCTGTTATAGCCCATTTCAAACTAAGTAGTTCAAGTTTCATAGAACTGTAGTTAGACATATTTCTCTCTGTTGGACGAAGACTTCTTGAAGCGTATGCTATGACAACACGTCCTTTATCCTGATCTTGCGATAGCACTGCGCCTAACCCGTCGTAACTCGCATCAATTTCCAAGATGAACTGTCTCTTGAAGTCCGGGTATCCCAAGATAGGAGTTGTCGTTAGTGCTTCTTTCAACTTCATAAATGCATGATCACAGTCTTCATTCCATCTCATACAAAATGAACCATCTACCATTTTTATCCTTGTTCGCTTGGTTTTCTTCTCCTGTTTGGTAAGGATAGCATGTAATGGGGCAGCTATTTTACTAAAGTTCTTCACAAATTTTCGGTAGTACGAACATAATCCTAAGAATGAACGCAATTCCTTCTCAGATTTTGGTTTAGTCCAAGTAGTGATGGCGGATATTTTGCTGGGATCAGTTTCAATGCCTTTACCGGAAATTTTATGTCCCAAATACTTGACTTCTTGTTTGAAGAAATGGCACTTCTTTGGATTAATTTTCAAACCGTGTTTGGTCAGTCTTGAAAATACAAAATCAAGTCTTTCTAGGTGTTGTTCAAAAGTTGATGAGTAGACCAAAATATCATCTAAATAGAGCAGTGTCTGAAACTCAAACTTCTTGTCTCCAAGACATGCTTCCATCAAACGTTGAAAAGTTTTTGGACTGTTACACAAACCCATAGAGATTTTAAAGGTATTCATACAATCCTCTGGATCCTATACGGAATGCGGTTTTGTTATCGACTCGTCATCTAAAGCGACTTGATAGTAACCTTGTGCTAAATCAATGGTGCTGTAATACTTTGATCCGCATAAAGCATCCAATGACTCTTCAATTCTCGGTAAGGGAAAAGCATCCTTTACTGTCTTTTGGTTAAGAAGACGAAAGTCTACACATAAACGAAGTGATTTATCCTTTTTCCGAACCAATACAGCTGCAGCTCCGTACGGACTAGTACTTGGTCTAATTACTTGCTGATCAAGGAACTTCTGAATGAGCTGTTTCACCTCTTGCATCATGTGGGGTGGTACCCGTCTATGTGGAACAGCGATGGGTTTGTTATCAGTCAGTTCTATGTGATGCTTTACCGTGGCTGTAAATCCTAAGTCGTCTTCATCTTTGCAAAATGCTGCTTTATGTTTCTGTAATAAGTGTGCAAGTTTTCGCTGTTGTTCACTACTAAGAGTGGTATCTATATCAAAGTCATGTCCGTGTAATTTGATTTTTCCATTTCCATGTTCGGTAATATCTGAAGCTATTTCTGTCTCTCCATCAATTTGGACTTGAATTTCATTATCCTTCACTGTCACTTGAACAGAATTATGTAAGGAATCTGCTATTTCTGCTTCTTGAACTGTCCCTATCCTCGTCTTAGGATTTAACCACACATCCTCAGTCCCTAAATTTATCACTCGTACTGGCACTCTTCCATTTGAAGTCTCTGAATAAGAGTCTATCACCATCACATTGCGTGGTAAATTTCCATGAGGACTTTGAATTGCCTGTACTAGTACATTCGAACATCCTCGGCTTTGTCGTGTAGTACACATCACAGTCACCATGGATTCAGCTGGTACTTTTACTGGAATTCGTCCAACTTTGGCAAAACTAAGCCTGTTAACTTCTGATGTCATTTGATACATGGACAACACAACATTCCATGTGTCACACAAAAGTTTATCTTTGGTATCAGACACGGACTCCAAATGAGTTTTCAGAAGTTTGAAGAAATTACTTCCAAGGACTCCTGGTACTCGGCTCTTCCGTTCTCGACCAAAATCGTCATCGGGATCCCTCACAACTAATACACCAACATTTGGAATTGTGACTATACTTGGAATGCTAATCTCAACTTCCGCATATCCAAGGTATGGAATAGGTAGGTTGTTAGCTCCAGTCACCTTCATCCAAGAAGTAACATCATGAAGTTTTGGCTTATTATCAAGTAGACTTCTAAAAAATGTTTCTGTCACTGTTGAAATTTGAGAACCAGTGTCTAACAAACACATTGTATCTTGGTTTTCAATTTTCACTGACTTTACGGGACAAGGTCCAATTCCTTTGTCAAAAACTCTGTCACGAATGTCTGTTTGCGAGTCTTCAATTTCCACTCCTGCAGTTCGACTCTTCACTACAGAAGTTGTTATTCCCCCTGTTTATTAACATCTTGCTTGGAGTTGCTTTTCCTAGCTTCTGATGGGAAAACAGATGGACACTGATTTGCTTTATGACCCTTGCCACTGCACTTGAAACATGTCACATAGTTTTTCTTAACATTCTCAATCTGTCTCTTAGGCTGTTTGGGTTCTGCACATCTTGCGGTAGAATTGAACTTTTCTGTTAGCGTCTGCAATTCTCTGCTGTGTCTGTCCAGTTGCTGTTGTTGCTTCAGTAGTAACTTCTTTATGTCTTCCAACGAATCAACTAATTGAACTTTGGCTCCTTCTGATGAACACTGTTGTGGTAGATTACGACTTCTATAATCTTCTGACCAGTCAATCACTGTCTCTCTAAATTTAGGAAAGTTCATATCCTTGAACTGATGTAAGTAACGTCTCATCTCTCTTCTCAGACTGTCATCCCGAATTCCATCAACAAATTTTTCTTTCAACATTGTGTCCTTATCGGTAATCACACTTGAATCCTTGTTGTGGATCTTCTCCATAAGCTTCATCAACGCCAGTGAGTACTTTTGTAGAGTTTCACCCTGTTCTTGGTTGCGCTGGTAAAACTGCTGTTGTAGTGCTGCAATAGTTTGGTAATTAGTAAACACTGAACGTATAATGTTAAATATTTTTTCTGGAGTATCCCTTTCGTTCTCTGGTCGTAAGCGTATTTCGTCCTTACATTGTCCACCAATGTTGTCGTAAATGAAATCAAGTTTGGCATCTAATGGTTCAATTGTTTTTAAGTGTTGTTTTACATCATGAATCCACTCGCATATGTCTGGGTCATTAACACTTATAGGTCGTCCACACAGTTTTGGTATTTTCTTCTCCCTTGCTATGAAAACAGTTTTATGTTCTTCTGATTTAGCGAAACTAATGTTATGTACATCGGCATTTAATTTTTCAATAATGGTGTTTGCTTTTATTAGTTCATGTTCTAATTTTTCAGTCTTCATAGTTTGAAATGTCAATTTGGCTTTTAATTCTTCTTCTGACATGGTAATAAATAATACACTGTAACTCTCCTACCAAATGAATCCTAAGTTGCTCTAGTTGTCCGAAACAGCTCTTCACATCATATCGTCACTGAACCATTAACTCTCATGTTGATACTGGAGACCTAAATTATGCACATCACACTGCCATATAATCCGAGTTAACCATTAACATATCCTGTCCACGACGCCATTTTGTGATTACCAGATTTGTTCTTTTTATAAGTTTATTAATTATGAATATCAATGATATTACAAATTATAATGGTAATGATATTGGCAGTAATAATGACAGTGTGCTGTACAAATGAAAAATAAGAAAAACATGACATTACTTACAAATGTAAATTCACATGAATATTATGAAGCATTACTAAAAAATATGAATAAAAATAATTTTACAAAATATGACGGACAGTTGACCTTTTCATTATAAAGATTTATAACATATTACACTCATAATAATCTCATGAATAAATATAACATGCTTTCATATAAATCTTACCCCAACTAGGGCCTCAATGCATAAACTCAGGTCAAGGTCACCGTCGACCACAGTAATACTGTACAACCTAACCAAAAATCAATATACCTATGTTACCTCTAATTGTAGTTGTAAACAATAAAAAAGTATATCTCGTAAAATAATTTTAAACTTCTTCATAACAAAAGTCTATTAAACATCACCAGAAATAAAATGAATAGCCAATATTATATGGAACGTTTATCAACAAAACATGCTGAACTTATTCTATTAAAATAAATATTTTCAGACTTTACAAATATTAAAATAACCCTACCAAAACATACTTTACTATCATGAGCAAAGCTATATTAACAAAAAAATGTAAACTTACAGTTGGTACACCTAGCTAGAGATAATATTCAGCAGAGCTTCAACAATGTTACTGTTCAACACACAGCCTTCATAGCGCGAAACATTTCGTGCAAAATCATAAACTATGAAGTCACGTGATCACAGGAAGTGATGTTGAAATTATCAAAATATTAAACAATACATTTAAATAAAAACTTGTGTGTAGTTTCCATCATTATTTGAAAAATGACAATGACAAAAATTATTTTAAATAAAAATCTTAAATACTTTAGCTGAACAGAATTTCTGTTACTAAAAATAGATGCGGAAATTACCCTCAATGACAAACAGTGTCTGAAAACAAAGAGAGATAACTCTTTTGTGAAAATCACCACATCACATCTTTACTGCCAGAACTAGGTCAAAACTGTGCAGCTGGTATGATAAAACTTTTTCACAAGTAACAGAATGTATTAAATATATTTTTAAATAATTATCATAAAATAAACTGTTTTGTTAGCCTAATTATCAGTTATATTCTATATAGTGATTACATGATATTCTAATGGTATTATTTGGATGTACTATCCCAAAATAGTAGTCCGAGTTGACAACCTGTTAAACAGTGTCTCAGAGGGTTAAATAACATGGGAAAGCAAATGCAATAATGCAGAATTCTTTTGAATGCAACACACCTCAGAGGGAGGATGCATTTAAATATTCAGTGAATAAGAAATACTGCATATCTGAGTAAAACACTCCAGTACAGATGGATGAACAATTTACAAACTTTGACCAGAAAAGTACACAAAGCCTTCCTACAAGTAATAAAATTATGTAAAATTACTAACCATGGTCTTAACACAAATAATTCCTAGATTTGTATCAGCTAGGACAGACTTGTTTGTTTCCAGTAAAAGCTCCCCTCCATGTTGTCCCAGCAATCCATCAACTGACTGGTTTCTTAGCTTCCATTTTGTGATGTAGAAATCTGTGGAAATTTTTTCACCATATGCACAAGGTAAGCACGTCTTCACCTGAAATTACATTTTTACTGTGCTAATATTTATCTATGAGTCTGATTATTAACCAGAAGTCTCTGATGACACAGTAGTTCTACAGTCAAGGGCATCGTGGAAACAAGTTATTTCAGCACCATAAAAATAAAGGAGAGTAATTTTATTTCTCGTGTGGTGCTTTTTGCAAAATTACAAAATAATTAATTCCACACGTATATTTAGGAGTCTACATTGATTGATTGTATACTGTTTAGCATCCCTCTCCAGAATATTTCACTGATATGGAGACGTCACCATTGCCGATGAAGGGCTGCAAATTTAGGCCTATACTCGGCACTTACGACCTTTGAGCAAGGAGAGATCTTTATCGTGCCACACCTGCTGTGACACGGGACATCCGAAGGACCGCCCCATTTAGTCGCCTTTTACGACAAGCAAGGGAGTACTGAGGACCTATTCTAACCCGGATCCCCACGGGGCTTAGGAGTCCACAGTATACAATATTCAAAATTTTAATCATAAACAGATAACACTTATGTCCTGTTCACATGGAGTTAAATTCGAATTAAACTTGTCACTAAGTTAATGCGAATTAAATTTGAACCGCGTTCACACGGGGAGCTTAATGTGAATTAGTTTAATTCGAATTAATTTACTGCACATTAAATTACTTTGCATTAGCTGTGAACGCTAAGCAAAGCTAATTCGAATTAAACTTGTCATGTGAACAGGGAATTAGAACTTTCCTACCAACCTCTCCAACAGACACTGTGACAAGAGATCCTACATTTCCAATAGATAGATCTCCCTGCATGCTGCATCTTAGATCTGGAACACTAGATGTTTCTATCCCATTCAGTGTCATTTTCACTTTTTGTGAAGCATCTCCTCTCCTGCAAAATTTGATTTAACTCACATACCCCGGTACTTCATCACAAAAAATACCATTTTCTTTTAGTATTTTTGTTAAAAAAGAAATATTATATTCAGTAGATATTTCATAAATAGATGTGTTTTAACATATTCAAGATATGGTGATCCATGGCATAAAATAAACTCACATAGGGTTCATCAGGAATATCTTGCTGAAGAATTTTAGAAGCTGACTGAATTGGCCTTCCACTGCACCTCTTCCTTCTGAATTTAATTCTTTTATTAGGTCAGAATAATACTGAACATACTCTGAAATCCCAGTAAACCAAAGGCTATAAAGGTCCCTATAAAAAATAAAATCATTGTATATTGTCATGTACAAGTAAGTACAGTATATGAAATGCAAGATTCAATGACTTTTCCTTAGGTTGAAATTGAGGAAAGATATTAGTTTTGTAGTGGTGCTACAAGAATTACAGTAGATAAAGGAGATTGATGAACACTAGGACTGCACAGCTATGATTTTTTTCATTGGTTGGGAATTCAAAAGCAGAACTGGGAAATTCACTAGCCCGTCGGGCTAGTTCTGAGACAATTTTTTACTAGCTCTCGTGTCTAGATGTCTAGATGTCGCGTGCGACTTGACATTTGAAGTGGCAGATCAAGCTTTCAGGTATATTTCTGAAGGTACAACTGTGCTCACCCCTACACATGTACTTTCACACCGTACATGTAAAACATATTAAACTGGCAAATGAAACATTACCGAGAAAGATTATCTGATGCTGCTTCAGATCCAAATTTCAGTGACATTTCCTCTTTAATTTGTGCCATTGCCTGTATACATTTTTTGGTTTCTTCGGTTATATCCGGTAAACGCAAGTTTTCCATTTCAAAGTCTTCATCAACATCTAAACTTTGCACGCAGTTTTTCGTTGATTCAATCAGAACTTCCTTTATGTGAAGAAGTTTAGTCAAAAATGCAGTATTCCCGACTGACCACGAAAACATCTTTTCCAGGGTAGATTTATATAACTCAGACAGTTCTGTTGCTTTAACATCATAATAGATTCCAAACGATTCTAACTGAGAAGTACTCCAATTTAAAACACGATCTCCACCATACCTCCCATGTTTCGACCGGGAGCTGTAACTTTCGTCGCTTTCATAAGCTCCAGAACTTTCGCTGGATGCTCTCTTTTTTCGAATTCGTGGTTCTGAAGGGGGTGAGAATCGTGATGGTAAACGTGAATCTCCCATGTTCTCAACTGGCTACATGAACCTGCAGACCACCGGAAGTTCAGTTACGCTAGAGAAAAGGAAACTTAATAAAGACGGACATACAATTTCCGGATTGATCCACTTTGCGGTAATATACAATGTACAATGTCAGTCACCTACTTTTCTACTTTTCCTGCTAGTAGCTCCTCAGAAATATCTAAGTTTTTCACAACAGGACCAATATTTGGCCGTCCTCCACCCCAATAATTTTGCCGATGATATAGAATACCAGACGCCTGAGACGCGGCAGGATTTTTTTTTCCAGGGGGTGGGTCCACTTTAGTGAAAAAAATTCAACCCAGTTATTTTTTTCAATGGCAACTTCTTTCGGTATCAATTTTCCTGCGTTCTATACTACATTGTCCATGATATTGACTCAGTGTACTTAAAAGTGTGTGGTGGTGGGCGTGGGTGGGGGGGGGGGGGGGCAACCAGCCTTTCAATGAACATTTCCAATAGTAAAAGTCACGTTGGCAAAAAAAGTGCCCCCCCCCGGCCCCCCTGTCGCTACGTGCCTGTGGTACCAAAAGTAGGGAATTCTCAATCGATATCCAATAAAAGATATTGCCACGTTGAATACATTATGTAGAGTATGGGAGCCCTAGCACTTACCGTTCAGAAGTTGTTCCTTATATTAAATGCTATTAATTCCGCCAATCCACGTGCTACAGACCCCGTTTCTTGTCTCTATTTGTCGCGCCCTGTTTTAAACCACGCCTATCGATTAACCAGTACATTGATGGAGAAATATTTACATTTCCAATGTTTTTTATCGAGAAAAAATTACAATAGATATTTTTGAAGTTGATATTTTCTTCATAATATTACGACTTTTTCTCTTTTTCTCGATCAATGTACAAGGTGGAACAAATAGAGACAAGAAGCGGGGCTTCAATATAGCTAGCACGTGGATTGGTGGATGACGGTCGAAATGACCAAAATTCCGCTCATTCTGGTTGCCATAACCACGCCATAGCCACGCACACCCTGAAACATAAACCACTTTAAGGTGGTTTTCTCAACTAAAAATCTGAGTACAATTTTAAACAAAAAAGTAGGTATATCAGGGACATTCGTTTGAACAGCAGCTTTGTATTCTAATATTTGAGTTTTACAGAGAATGACTCTTAAAGGTGCATGTACACATATTTGAAGTTGATATTTTCTTTATAATATTAACAACTTACATGTATATTATTATTAATAGCATTTCAAACAAAAATAAATTAAAAATCTTATTTTATTTAAAAGTTTTTCAAACTTAATTTTTTTTGGAGGGTTTGATTGACACATCATAATGCTTGCATTTTCACAAATCTTAACTTTACTTATAGGCAAAATGGCAATCTTATTGTCTATTTATGATAAATATTAAAACTTTAATCTAGAAAATTTGAGTGCTCAGCCTTGAATTTAGAAATGTTAGAAAGCAAAACTCCTTCACATGTATCGTCATTCTGAGCTAAGTGTTGTGTACAGAGTTTAGCAAATCGATCACACCCGTTACATACGTAAACAGTTTTTGTAAACAGGGCACGAGCTCTGTTATTGTTGATGTTTACGATTCACCAGGTGCGTTTAATTGTTAAAGTCTACTCACCTTTTCAATAACTTTTGAATGAAATGAGATTTTTAATTTATTTTTCTGTGTAATGCTATAAAAATATACATGTCGTAATATTATACGGGAAATATTTAAATCTGTGTCCATGCACCTTTAAATACTTTATTTGAGAAAAGTATCTTTGGATGCAGTTTGAAGTCTCTGATTTTATCCTTAGCTTGTCATAGATTTCGTCGGAGAAGTAAGAGAGAGTTACACATATAGAATGCTTCAATCATGAAATATCGTTTCGATAGTTTATCTGATACAAAGCGTCAATGTATTCTTCAAATTTCAAAATCAACGGTGTTTTATAAATAATTTTGCCATTTTTAGAACAATAAAAAACTAACTACTGTTCACATTAACTCTTACGTACCAGATGGGGAGAGGGGGGGGGGTCAAGATAGGTTATGTTTATCTTACAAAGAATGAAGAAGTAATAACGAGACTACCATACAATAGGATATAGCTTTTACTTATTATACTACGGGGCAAAAATTTATTACAGAAACAAGTGCCTGTGGTCCATAGGTGTTTTTTTTCATTTAGTTTGAAAGACCTTGTGAGATTGTAACATTTATACGTCCGTTTTTCCTAGGGGGTACTATAACATAGTAATGTTTTACAAAAAAATAAGCACCTAAAATATTTAATACATAGATGCATGATACGTGCACGTATACATGTACGTTATAGAATAGAAGATTGGAATTGATTTCGCTCGAGAACCAAACTGAACCAAAATTTATCTAATTCAAAATTTTAATACATCAGTACATAAAACGAAACTGACAAACTAAATGGTTGTTTGCATGAAATAAAAATAAACACCCCCTTCGAGCGCACTCAACTGGTAGCCCTATACTTACTAAGCTATCACCGCTTCACAAATACGCATGTTTTAAAAAGGACAAAGAAGCACCACATTCAAACATTTGGATATTTTGGGGAAAAGTTCATTTTTCGTGGTCTCTGGACCTTCTCTCCATTTTTTTTAAAAATGTGTATTCGTTTTTTTTAATTAAAATACACACAAATAACGTTTCAAAATCATGGAGAAAAGACCTAGAAATAGAAAATGTTTAGAAATGTACCATTTTGTGCCAAATGTCTGATCTGGACAATTTTCAAGTTATCTTTTAGCAAATCAAAGCTCAATTTCCTTTCCCGTTGCACAGGAACCCCATAAATAAAAAAAAATGTTAAAATTTCATGTGACATGTCGATAAAATTTTCACTTTTCAATTACGCCCATATTCCTGCCGAATGCCAATCAAATGCAACCTCGTTCTTTATCTTTCATGATATTTGAACAGATAAAGATGAGGGAAAATAGTGAGCTTTTGACTGTCTTTTTTTCTCCCACCTTTTTCTGTTTCAATAAACACTAAATACACTGCATAAACAAACAACAACTTCTTTTCTTAAAGGTTTAATTTGCATGTAATGGATATTTACAAAAAATACATTTGCATAACAAGAAATATAACAGGATAACAAGTTTTTTTTGTTCTGTATGAAATAAATAACAATCAAAACAAGGTTTATGTCATAATCACAAACTATATAGTTAACAATCAGGCAATAGTCACTTAGTCGCTGAGATCCCGTAGGTACGGCTCAAATTCCGAGAAGAGGTCACCCGAGCACTGAGTAGGAATGACAAAGTCCATGATCGACTCCAAAGCGGACAGGCTGTGGCTCTCCGCTGGTAATACAACACCAAAGTCCCCGGCTGGCGCGAAATCGATGACGTCATCTGGTTCCAACATAGACTGAAGTTCGTCAACGCCTGCGAAGATGTCTTCTTGGGAGAGTTCAGGTTCAATGGGTGAGCAGGGAACTTCCAGTGAGACGATGCTTGTGTCGGAGAGGATCCGAGTAGAGTGACCAAAGTCTTGTATATCTTGTGATGATGACGCATCGGAATATCCTCGGCACCGTTCTATGGACGAGTAAGAAAGTTCATGAACAGAATCACGTGAAAGCATATCACTGTCCTCAAATGTTGAATCAAACACACTACAGAAAGAGTCACAGCTGGTGTTGAAATCTTCGCATGGCGTTGACGGTTTAGGTGAGTGTTTGGTGGATTTAGGAGACATGTTGAGAATGCGGTCGATGCCAAAACTAAGTCCAGACGACACAACACTGGAAGGCTGAACACAAGCAGAGGTGGCATCGGTAGACACAACTTCACGGAGATCAATCTCAGGCACTCCCAGATACTGGTGAAGGTGATTCGGCCAATCATCGAAGGAATCTCTCTTTGTCGTCTGCTTCCGGAATGACGTCAGAGGAACCAAAGCGAGATCCACAGTCCACAGCTTTCCCCTGGTACTTCTGGGATGGTCCATCTTAATGAAGTGGGAGTACTTGGAGAGCGCGTTGCGGACTTTGTCGTACCAGACTCTGTCGTTGCCGTCATACAAGTGAAACATGGACTCCAGGGTACGGCAGATCTCTGACAAGGTCATGGCCTTCTGAGGAGAGGACCAGATGGCGTAGATGATCATGGAGGACATGGTGTAGGGAGGAGATGTGCTGACTCTGGCGGACATTCTCTGTAATTCAAAGAAAGAATGGTTAGAAAAAGAAAAATGTAGATTAAGATTGACCTTCCTAAAGAATTGCAGTCCCCTATCTTTGGTGTCTTAGTGGATGGGATGTCACTAATTCATGGTCTATTGTGTCAAATATGAACGTCATATCATATATCATTCATAAGTAATAACCAAATGAAACGTTGTGAAAATTAGATTCATACACCGGTGTGAAAATGGGGGACAACAAATCTGAGAGAATTTTATCGTATATATTGTATATACATGTAACATTCATTTACTTGATGTTTTTGTACAGAATATATAGGTTATGTAGGTAGATACTTTTGCGTCTATTACTTTTAACATTTTAAAAATAGAATAATCATGAAGTTGTGTCTCATTATTATTTTTATCTGATCTTTTAAATAAAGAAAAAACAAGACTACAATACTACTGTTTGACATATATCAGGTTTGGTTCTTACAATCAACTAAGTTCTACAGCTGGCTACAACTTTTGATCTCTATATAGAAACTAGTCTCCGACTACACTGTAGTCTACTGGTTTGTAGAAGAAGAGAAAAAACTTATTAGCGCTTACAGTTGAACACATGAGCTATGCAACAGCAATTATAGTAAGGTGGCCCTTTGTTTTGTCGCTTTCTTGCAATTTCTATTTTTAATAACCAAGGCAAGAAAAATTTAAAATGATGTATCTCAGTGTAGCCTAACTGTGTTTATTTAAATTGGACAAAAACACGGCATAAACAAAAACACGGCTTATTTTTCATACATTTTCATACATTTCCTGGTGAATTTTGTTTAAAGACGTTTCACGAATGCAAAGTAAAATTTTATTGTTATTTGCTGCTCCGTGACTTGCTCAATTAAACGACATGGCTTTTGCCTTTTAATCAAGTCCCTATGTAGTATATTGACCCTCATTTATTGATTTGATTTTTAATTTAGCTATGAGTGTTGAAACTTAAAAGACAAAAATTTGACCAAAAAAAATAAACTTTAAGTTTCAGCAGCCAACCTCGTTAAGTCTTGTTGTATCAGGTAATATTATTTATCCATTACCCTTTTTTTCCCCAACATAACCTTTACTATAGTAAATGTTCATTGATAGGATGGTTGCCCCCCCCCCACTTTATAACATAGTATAGTGATATCAAGGATTTTAGGGAAAAAATTGGAAGTGATAGTAAGTTGGCTTTGAAAAAGTTGGCCACTACCCCCCCCCCCCCCCCCACACACACACACACGAAATAGGATTTTCGAGTAATTTTCGTTTTTTTTTTTTTTTGCTTGTCAACTTTTCCAGGTAAGAAAAAAAAAATTTCTCTGGTTGCCCCCCCCACACACTTTCAAAAACGATGCTACGTGCCTGCCAATTTCTAAAAATTTAGACTAACATCTGAAATCACAAATGGGGGGGGGATTTCGTTGTTTCCGCTTTTCATGTGGAAAGGTTATATATCGTTGTCACTATCTGTATCATGAAATATGTAATTATTTTTTAATTTTCTGGCAAATTCATTAAAATCTCTCATCACTTGTTTGACATATAGGTGAAGGTACAAATTTTAGACCTTTTGCCAAAAGTAAATACTCATCATCTGACAATTTGTCAGGTGTGAGAAATCTAACATGCAAAATGTACTTGCTAATTATAGCAGAGAGAAAGCCCTGAAAAGTAAAAGTGACATCAAGAAAAAAGTAATTCTTCTTGTTTTTGTCACAAAATACAACCCCTGTATACGACATTTAAAAAGAAAACTGATAAAATATTGGCACATCCTTACAAAGGATGAAGACTGTAAAAGATTTCATTTCTGTAGATTGTGCCCTACAAACGCAATAAAAACTTAGGTGATATTCTTACCTCCTCAACAATTAAATAATTTATTCTATTATGTGTAGATGCATAAATGCATAATGCAAATAAACTCCTGATGAGGCGGATTTGCAACAATATGAAGAAAATTATTTCTTCATCATAAATCAATTTATAAAAATATACCTCGTTTCACACCGCCGAAACACTAAATTCATAGTGTAGAGTCAATTTAAGTGATTGGAGGTACGTGGCTGATGGGAGCCACCTGTTTGAAAAAAAAAATGGGGGAAGGTATTTTTGATTGATCGTTTCACAAATCATTTAGAAAACTCGACGGATTCTGTATCGTAGGTATACAAATTTGGGGGGTGCTGCGCACTCGTCTCCAGCCCCAAATTTGTATCTACGATACAGAACCCGTCTCGTTCTTTCAATAATACTTAGTAAATATTCAATGACGTTGCTCCGATATTTGCTGGAGCAACGTCATTGAACATTTATTTTTAATAATTGTTATAAATATGAAAATGCATTTATATTCCACTTTTTCAAATTATTCGAATTTGTTGTTAAAATATATTAACCAAATTTGGATATTATAAGACGTTAAATCTACGAACTTTTTGACCCTCGTACATGTATTTACTGCGCTGAGGAAGTGTATTGTAAAACTTCTTATCTGGTTATCAGTTATTATTAAAACATACTGGAGTTCCATAAGGATTAGTTCTTTGTCCTTTACCTTTTGATTGATGTACTGGGGGTAAATGTTGTTTCGGAAAACATGCCTTCATTTTGTTGATTGTTTGTAGATGATAACTTAATTGTTCATTTTTTGTTGCAATGTTTAGAACATGCAACCCATTCAAAACAAAAAGCATTATTCATTACATTAAGATCTTCCTAAGCTACAATTCCAATGATGTACAAGTAGATTGGAATTAAAAATCTCTCATAAACATCTAGGACATTTATATCAAACAAGTTCTCAACTGTTTTGAAAATCTAAACAATTTAATTATAAAGTGTACATAATTTTATCAGACCATTCACTACTTTGAATATTGTTTTATGGTTTGGGATGGATGTTTCCTTGATGATGTTGAACAATTGCTGCTATTTGATGCGAGAAAAAAATTACAGGGTTGCCCATCATACTTTTAAGAGTTGCACTGTATCAGGAGTATAGGGAGTGTTATATCTACCGGGGTTATTGCAAACACACGTCGGTAAGAAGACTATGCTTTTCCTAGATGCAGATTAGAAATATTTTATATCTTTTTTAGTGATATAGTTGATCAATATATATAGTTTAATTGTTTGCTGAAAATATTATGGAACGCCATAGCTGCCTTAAGGCATGGTACATAATGGTACATAACTTTTATTGGATACCAATAACCTTGACATTTAAACATTGACCATAGAGATTTCCGGACTTATGTAGAAACATTAATCTTGGCAATAACTTTTTCACGGTTAGGGCTAGGACTTCCTTTTGACCTTGATCTTGAAGAGTTCTGTACTTATGAAAAAGTACTGACCATAACTTGGGAACAGATGGTGATAGGGCTTTTATATTTCACAATTGTTTTCTGTCAGGAGACCATACTTGGGTACCAATATATTAAATTTGCATTTACGAAAGTTTAATCTTCACTCTGTTGCCATACGGGGGGCATCAGTGTTTCACAGACACATCTTGTTTTGTTATATTCTAAAAAAATTATATAAAATTAGTAATACATCTTTCCAGCACAACAATTTTTGATATTCATATAGTATATCAATTTTTTTATTTTGAATAAATTGATTGTTCCCATGACCTCAATGCATTCTTTATTAATTACTTACTGCTCGGATAATTATATTTTTGAAAATTTCTCCTGGTAAAACCTTTTTCTACTCTAAACTGCTTTGAAGTAGTTTCAGAGTATTTAATACAGGATGGATATTTGAGGTTAGAAAATTATGTCCTTGGGTAGGATACCTTAAGGATCGAGGGAAGACTGTATATGTCCCCGTAAACGAAGTTCGTCTGTCTAGCTGTCTGTCTAATAACTGTATGTTTGTCTGCAAAAATTTTACCTTAAGTTATGGCTTTCATATTTCACATATGACAAGACCTTTCCATGGGTACCACAAAATTTGACCTTTTGAACTTGACCTTGGAGATTGACCTACTTTTACACAAATAATTTCAAAGTTTTACTTATGCGCATCTTTTGAAAAGTAGTACTTCATATATGCATTTTGTTTGGAAAGACTTTTCATTGAGTACAAACAACTTTAACCTTTTGACCTTGACCTTGGAGATTTCCCTACTTATGGAAAAACTTTAACCTTGGCCATAACTTTTTAACGTTAAGGGCTAGGGCTTTCATACTTCTCACATATAATCCTTGTGAAAAGTCCTTTCATTGGATAGAACTTTGACCCTTTGACCTTGGAATTTGACCTATTTTTAAAATACAACTTTGAACATAATTTTAAAGGATTAGGACTAGGGTTTTCATACTTAATATATTTAATTCTTGTGACAAGACCTTTCATTTGATATAAAGAACCTTGACCCTTTGACCATGACTTAGGAGTTTGACCAATTTTTACACAAACAAGATGTATTTGTGAAACACTATGCGCCCGGCGACAACAAAATAACAAAAATCTATTTTTAGCATATAGGTCACAGTCAAGGTCACAATTTCATTGATATTAATGTTGTTTGAAAGAAATTTTGTTGTGGAGTATGCATACCAAATATGAAGTCTATGTCTTCAAAAATATCTATTTTCAGCATTAAGGTCAAGTCAAGGTCACAGTCAAGGTCACAAGGTCAATGACTTTGGTGTCATTTGTATGAGCTGTATCAGTAAAGTATGCATACCAAGTTTGAAGTCTCTATCTCCTATGTTTTCCTAAGTTATGGCAAAAGTTTGAAAAAGCTATTTTTAGCATGTAGGTCACAGTCAAGGTCTCTGAACTTGTTGTCTTATAAAAGAACTTTATTAGAGGAGTATGCATACCAAACATGAAGTCTCTATATTTCAAGATTCAAAAGTTATGGCGAAGGTTAAAGTTCAGGTTCAGCAGACAGACAGATAAACAGATAAAGAGACAGGACAAAAACAATATACGCCTCGGATCTATCGATCGGGGCGCATAAAAATCAA